AAACAAGTTTAAATCCTACTGATTGGATCTTTATAGGAAACTGATGAAAAATTTTATTTCTAATGAGTTCTCTCCACACTTTTTTAGCTACAGAAACAATCGCTGGGATCCCCCAAAGTTACGCTACCATTCAAACGCAGTCATGCCACGAAACACAATTTTTTTCTCCAAAACCGATCGTAATTCGCTGGTAATACGTGCTTATTTGGCGTAGCGTCTTACCTTAATGCTTTTGAAGAAGCGTTCATCATCATCACGGCTTCGAGAAACTGAATTATAAACGACAGCATTTTAAAGTTCAAAATTGAATAATGTTGTAAAAATCGCTTATGCGATACAGTGCAAGCTCCGAAAACCGTTATTAGACAATATACTTTGTTGTTTAGTAAGAAGGGTTTAAAATTATTTGTTACGAAGAAAGAGGGTTGTGTTGATTCAAAACGGATCCGAGAAGTTTATGCAATTCTTATGTTGTTATTATATAAGGTTTGTAGAGACTTGACGGTTCATTCTCACTTGCATCGTTCAGTGCATTGAACGTAAACTAGATTTTAGTTACAAGTTTTAGTTAATTACATCAATTATTGGTAAGTTACTTTTTATTATTACACACAACTAATTATCTAAGCCCATCCAATCTCTGATTGTTTCGATCACACACTTATGACATTATTGGCATATTGATTTGGGCATAACAGCTTAAGTTAAAAAAAGATGTTTTAATAATTACTTTCAAAAATTAACATTATTTAAATACTGACTATGACATGTACTAAAAGTGTAATACTAAACATCCTTAAATATATTTCATAAAAAATATTTTATCACGTTATTTAATAAATTTAAATTGGTTATAGTGCTAATCTTTGCACTTAAGATTGAACATTAAAATATGTAGAAAAAAAAAGTGCGAAAAGATTGTCGCCGCTGTGGGAATCGAACCCACGTCTTCGGCATTCGCGGCCTGACGCTCTAGCCACTGAGCTAAACGGCTGATTACCACACCGACGAAAATCTTAACGCATTCTTCCACATTTTTTTCTTAGCATTTGAAGCAATGGCTAGAGCGTCAGGCCGCGAATGCCGAACACGTGGGTTCGATTCCCACAGCGGCGACAATCTTTTCGCACTTTTTCTACATATTTTAACGTTATTTAATCATTAAATTTCGTCAAAAATTTATATAATTAAATTAATGCCGACAAAGGCGTGGACTAGTGCTGTACTGCAAATTGATAGCTTTTATTCTATATTGCGGTTAAGGAAAAACTGATAAGACAACAAAATAGTTTCTGGGCAACATTCCAAAATCTACTAAATGTATAATTTAACAACAAATAAATAAAAAACTAAGACAATAGAGAAGAATGAGAGTGAATAAACACTTTTGACAGTCACAAAAGTCTTTGTTAAAACCGACTCTTCTAGTTATTTTTCCAGACCGAAGTTTTAAATATCATATCAAAATGTAATAACAGCAACATCATAAATAAAAAAAAGTTTTTGAACGACAAGGGTCTGAATATTAACCTAGAATATTAAACATTTTCTTGAAAAAATTTCTTCAGGCAACGAGAGAAAGTTGCTATCCTAAACAGAGGGCGTTTATTTCTAGGTTATTACACGTAGCTATGAATCATCGCTTTGTAAAATGGATGAGGTATTTTGTGTTAGGTAACGCTTATGCAATGTTTCGTTGTATGGAACAGGACGTGCTGACAATTTATAACAGTTATTAAAATCTTCAAATGACGCAATGAATTGACACAATACAAGTACGCCTTTAAAGAGACCATCTACTTTTCATATAAATAATACGAGGATATTTAAATACGTGTAAATAGTGTGACGCTGATTTTTGTTAAAAAAAGGAAAGATTCCAGTCGACGTCTTTGTCCTCCGGAATTTCAAATTGGATCGGAGCGAGCACGGATCATGAACTGACGTCCCATACAATAAGCCATCAATGTATTTTACTGATCAATTAATGTGTGAGCCAAACCCGAGTTTATTGCGATATTGGTTAATGTATATTTACGGATTTATACTTTTGATTTACTGCATTTTTAGCACATTAAATGACTGACGCTCATCATCTAACGTACTACCTTCTTACAGCAGACACACTCACACTCTCAAATAACATTTTTGCAATGAATATCAAAAACCAGAGATCATTGTTCTATTGATTTTCAGAGTTCCGTAGCCAAGGGGTAAAACGGGATCCTATTACTAGGACTCCGCTGTCTGTCTATCTGGCTGTCCGACCGTCTGTCAACAGGGTGTATCTCATGAACCGTGATAGTTAAAAAGTATAAATTTTCACAGATGATGTATTTCTGTTGCTGCTACAACAAAAAATATTAAAATACAGAATAAAAGAAAAAAATTAAGTGAAGCTCCCATACAACAAGCATGATTTTTTTGCCGTTATTATAGATAATGTTACGGAACCTTTCGTGGGCGAGTCCGACTCGCACTTGGCTGGTTTTTTTAAATATTAGTGCTAGTCTCTGCACCTAACATAAAACTTAAAATGTGTATACAAAAATATCGAAAATTTTTCTTTGAAAAATGTTTTTTGTACAGTGTGCGGAACAACTTACTGTATAGATATTATGATATCAATAATTTTATTTTATATTTCATTTGTTTCGGATTTGTCTTTTTTTTAAAGGCATGATACCTATAAATCAACCATGGTATCAACCATCTATTTTTACTATACTTGGTAATAAATAAATAAATAACGACAGATGTTTTTAACAGGACTGTGTACCATTTATAAACATGGTCGCGGACCCGAATATTTGTATTTTTTTCTTTTTTTCGGTAAACATTATTAAATAACACATCCGACAATGTTTACGCGTCGATGATCCAAGTAAATCATTATTCATTCAAATCACGCAAGGGCTACGTCGGGCCGAATGACAACGTCAAAAGTTTTTCTACGGCGAAATTAAAAATGATATTATCATTTCATTCATTCGTTTATAGGTTTGTTTCCCAAATTTATGAGCCCGGAGGGTTCCGTGACATTAGGAAAGGATCACACTGCGATGGGTACATAAAACAATTAAGCGGATGATTATTAATCAAAGATAGATTGTTTTACATCTTAAAATATAAATTGAAATATCTTCGAGCCTACCAAAGGTTATTTTTTCCTTCATTAATGGTTGAGGGGGGGGGGGGATATAGTCCACGCCATATTTTTCTTTTTTTTCCCTCACCGCTGATCACGGGCACCGGGATTTGAACTGAAGTTGTCCGTGTATAGTGAATTAATATCAAGCGCTCGGACACTGCGCTATCATGACTGTCAAATAAAAAAAATAGTAACGGAAACAATGTCTCAATTCCTATTTTCACGAAGCACCCAATTTATAATATACCTTAAAGTTATACTCAACGTTTTCACTTGCGCGAACCGTTACTACACAGGGAAAGTTTGGGAAACGCTAGTCTTAAGAAATGCAAGTGTGAAAAATCATTTGTTTCTAATTCAAATATTGCAGAGAGAACTAGACTAGACAGTTTTGGGTTCCATGCTGAAATCAACAACCAAGTAGTTGCAAACCCTCTCTATTTAGTGACGAAGCATTGGTCTGTCAGCTTCGGTACCTAACAGAGGAAGTCAACACTAAATTGTAGAATAAAACTTAATCGAATAAACATCTATTTTATTTTTATTTTATATAAAATTTTAACTGACAGAATGCACTATAATTTAAAAAAAAAATTATAATTTTTTTAGTGATAGTCGGAGATAAAGTAGAAAGTAAAAGATAGTCAAAGTATAGCTCGTTATGTCAATATTATGGAATAAGTTTTCAAATTCAAATGATATTTCATTGTATTTGGAAATCTATAATTTACCCTGAATAAAGCTGAAACACCTATTTTTTCCTGACACGATAGCGTATTTTACACTTGACAGTAGATGGCGCTGTATCCTAGCATTACTAAAGACAACGTTACGCTTAAACTAATACATTATGTTAATACATGACTTGAAGACGCAGACGCATTAACCGAAAAGGTCAGATCCTATTTTTAATAGGAACTGTTTTATATGAAACGTTTTAAAATTCAAGAAGTGACTTCTTTTTGTGACGCGCCAAAAGCGTCGTGAACCGTTAGCAAAGGCCATATTCTGTGGACGCTTACGCAGTGTCCAACCGCGATCCGTGCGTCTCGCTCGCACGCATAGAGTTCGTCCCTGTTCTAAAAATCGATATAGATAATAAATATTTTTTTTACTTTTTTCGTTTTAAACATTAGTGCCAACGATAAAGTTTGAGTAATACAATATTTAAATTTGTTGAATAGTTTCAGATCCAAATAAAGGTCTTTTTCAAGTGCTTTATAAAACATAGTGAAGAAACTATGGTCATAAAGAATTTAAACACTTTTTCACTTTTTAAAGAATAATGTCGTGAGTAAAACCGCGTCGCGCACTTTCTATATTTGACTATAATAGATGTAAACATTTGCACAAGATACAAGCTATTATCGTCTTTATGTCTTTGTAATAAAAACAAGGAACATCATGATTTACACACTCGCATATTATTGAATCTAAGAGCTAAGTGGTGCATGTAATGAGAAATAAAGAAACCACCAATGCACCAATGTGTTATAAACATATTACGAGACATGTTATCATAAAAGAATCTCGTAAGTGTGCCTAATTTTCTACATAACTACTTCATCTCAGTTTGTACGGCATGAAGTTCAAAACTAATTTAATTTACTACCTGATCAAAATATTTAATACGCGAATGGAAAAAGCATATTTGTGTAGCTTTTAGCGTTTTATAGATAGACACGCGTTTAAGACTATTATAATTGTCTGATGACAATTTCCAATAACAACCTTTTCGATCTGAAAATTACACACGGCCTTCTGTTTCCCTTAATATACAGAAAATTTTAACGCTGAAAAAACACTAAAACGTCATTTTCCTTGTTCTAGGGCTGATTATAAACACAAAATGTTGAATCAGGCTCGATGGCTTATGATGGTAATAGCAGCAGCCTTAGCTCTGCAATCGAAAGGCGAGGGAGGTATAAGACTGCCAGATCAACCGCCTAGAGAAGAGACCGAAGGTAGATCTTTGAACTTCGGTGGCGATAATGGAAGATCGGTAAGTGACATATCTTAGAAAATGGATGACCACCCACCCCCGTCATAGAAAAAGAGGTAAACTAGGGCAATTGAATCAATTACAAACATTAATAAAATAAATGCGATGTGACTTAGAAAATTAGTATTGGTAGTGAAATCGAATTAAAAGTGAAAAGCAATATAACTAAGCTGGTATTTAACTCACCTCAAAGAATGATTCTCAGATTTTTTACCTAAGTAATCTGACTGTACTTTAATGGGAACAGTCCTGTTTTGCAAAAAAAAGAAAATTCTGTATTTTAACAGATAACCTCATATTAGTACGAGCTATGAATAAAGTTATAAAATCTTGTTTTAAATTCTATGCACTTCATTAATAGTTAGCCAGTTTATCCAAATAGAACGAAGTTAGACGCAAAAAAATCACCGTGATATTTTACGCCGAAGTTTCCATGGCATGTTTAATAAATGAAATTCAGTTTGCCGTTCCTTAGTGATGGCGTGTTTTTGCGGCTGGCTGATGTGAGCAGAGCAGAAAACAGCATGTTAATGCAACTTGAATCAAATTGTAATGCATCGTTGCGCTACAATTTGATTTATTATTTTATGTGTCTGCTATCTTATTTTTACAAAGCAAACAATATTTTCAGTGCTCCATTACAAAAAAAATGAATAAAACCATTTGAGAAGTCTAATTTGTTATACATTGAGTAAAAAAAAGTACGCCTTTACTGTACAATCTTAACGTAAACTATCTAAGAATTTTATTTTATATTCCCTTTAAAGGCCTAATTCCAATATTTTGTTATCCGTCTAAAATGCTGTGGATTTGAATTTTTTTTATGATTTGCTCGTTTTTTTTTTTGGTAAATACTTTATTCAGGAAATAAAAAAAAATAAAAAAAGCAATTATCTGGTATAAAAAAAGATAAAAAAAATAAGTGTGTAAATGATCGGGACACGAACCGCGGCCTACTGTTTCGGGGCCGCCCGATTACCTTATATATATAATACTTTTCCAGCCCAAGCGTCCGGTCGAGGGCTGCTGGATTGGATCGGTCTTGGTGAAGATCAAGATCCATACATCCAGCAGGCGACGCAACAATGTATCAACGGTGATTTGGCCGACTGCTTTAAGGCCCAGGCCTTGAGGTCCTTCGATGATTTCTTCGACAAGCAAGCTTATCAGTGAGTAACTGCTAAATTTCAGATTCTATTAAGCAGAGTCAAGCATAACACAGATCGTAATAAAATAACGTTTTTATATGTCTCACTTCAGAGTTGTTTACAAATTGATTTTTACTAACATTTTCTGAAGTATGAGGTGGAATACAGATTTTTTTGTATATTAAGTACAATTCATTTTTTATTTATGTACTAAAAAAATCATAACATTGAAGGCCATTTGAATTTCATAGACGACCATAACAGTTGACTTAACAAACTTAATAACACTTAAATCTCCATATAAACCGTTTGTTATGTAATTTATTTGTAAAAATTTTTTTTATGCGAAAAGTTGTCAAACCTGAGCCAACGGGTAACCTGATGTTAAGTGAATACCGCCGCCCATGGACATCTGCTACACCCGAGGGTTACAGATGCGTTGACAACCTTTTTAAAATTGGGCTCCGACTACCTCACTCACGAGACGAAACGCGAAAGTATTTGTCATACTTCCACTTTACGCTGATCTTCTGTGAGGTCGTGGTTCTTACCCGGATGGGCTTGCCCGTTCGTATAACAGTCGAGGCAGCTGCGTGGCCCTACCACCATAAAATCTAAAAGTAACCACGTGAAAGTGAAACGGTCTAGAAATGTTATGGTCAAGAGCTCTAATTGTTCACTATATCTATTATAATAATGATGACTATTACAGACTCTCAGACAACGCCGTGTTGGTAAAGGTTGAGTCTCAGGCTCGAGCACTCGCCCATGAACCACCAGAATTAAGTTCTCAGCCACGCAGTGAAGATTCAGATTGGGATGCACTGGTTAAATTTGGAATGCGCAAAATCGAACGGTAAGCTGACAAGTTAAAGTACATAGTTATTAAAAATGTATGAAGTGTCAAATATGTTCTACATAATGGGATAATATATCCCATCAATCAATCGGTACGTCTGAGAATTGTATCAGCCTATACATGTCCCACTGCTGGGAAAAGGCCTCCTATGTACAGAGGGAATCAGGACGTAGTCCACCACGCGGCCTCACTGCGGATTGGCGAACTGTAAATAATTGAATGTAAATATTGCATTACCTATAACCATCAGAAGAAGGTGAAGCTTACAAACTTTAGATAAAATATCTTTCATGTTATATATCCAGTTGTAAAATAAACACGTCTTATAAACGAAGAATAAATTAGCAATAATAAAAATAGCATACTGTAGTAATAACATCCCGCATCAAGTCCAAATAAGAGTTGACTAAAGAAAAAATTTAATGCATGTAAATGAATTGACCTGACCTTTTTGCTATTGGCAACGTTTCAGTTCAATGTTGCCAACTTATAACATTAAGGACACATGAAATATGTTAGCGTGGTGTTCAAATGGGAAGTATACCATTATTTAGAATATTCCTAACAGCGCAAACAACATTATCGCGTAATAAATGCTATCCTAAATTACCTTACAGGACTGGAGTGTTTTTTATGGGATATTCAGTTAAGAGCATTTGAAAATATGAAAAGAAAGTGATTGCTATTAGTTATTTCTTATTAGTTATTATAATAGTAGTAAGTCTTTTAAAGGCGACACAAAACTCAGAAAATGTTCAAATTGTATCGATGTCTTAACTCAAAAAAATGATAAAAGGACGTTGGTGTGTTAAATAATAATAATATTCCTAGTGATTATTTAAATAGACACTCAGGAAATTAATTGATCGCTTCAGGCTCATTCAAGTGAACTTTAGTATATTTTAAACATGTTTTATTTTTCAAATAATGGTAAAAAATATGAGTTTCTTTCGCTGGATCTTCTCGGGTCCGTGGCTTTCCTTTTCCGAACCAGTAGTAGTACAAGTTTGACAATCGATAAATAAGTGTAATGTTTCTATATTGTAAAGACATGAATTTAAATTTGAATTAAAATTTGTTGACATAATAAGCATTTTGTCGCTGGATTTCGTGGATGTTTTGAATAGTTCATTATAAAATCTGTCACAGAAGTTGATAAGATCATTTATTTGCTAGTACTTGATTTAAGGAAAAACAATATGATTATTCGTGATAATCTATCGTTTTCGTGTACGAGATAGATCTATCCGTTAAACTATAAACAGTAGTTACTCTAGCACCGAGCACTCCCAGTTAAAAACAACTGAAATCCCAATGCAAGCAAAACGCAATTACAAAACATTTGCGAGAAAGCAGCAGACAGATGTTTGAATATCAAAGAAGAGATATTTGAAAAATGACTAGGATACCAATCAACGATATAACACCAAAGTATTTAAGATTATACACGGTTATAAGATAAGACTGTGTCTCCTATTTCAGGTTTTTAAGATCGACAGCTTTAGAAATGCAGCTAGACGATGAAGTCACGTCAAATGGTGTCATTGCACCTCGGTTCTTGGATCAAATCGCAGATGAGGTCGACATCATTGAAGATAAGAAAGCACCTCCTTTCCGTGAGTTTTTAACAGAACAAACATTGCACACATGACAATATACGCACGGCTCATTTACGACTGCTTCACCTAGGTCTATCCACTAGTTTAGTAAAAATCGGTAATAATGGAACAAGAACTAATTAATTAAGGTGTAAGCAAGGCTCTAATCTCCCATTTACTGAAACCAGTAACTAACTCATAGAATGAGCATCTATCCTTAATTAAAGTCATCTTAAATAGCGATAATGGAATAAAATAAACCGAGATATAATGTAGATTGTGTGAAAGGTAAGATCTTACATATAAAAAAACATGGACTGTACACATCAATTAGTAGCAGCTTGTATATATCCCATTGTTGGGTAGAGAACCCTTCTGTATCTGATGTATTAGGGCATAGTCCACCAAGGATTGGCGAAGTTAGAATTGGAAGTATTTCTTTTTATACTCAAGTTGCTCGAAAATATTAAAAGAGAGCTACCGGACGCTCAGTTATGACGGCTACTATCAATTATTATTGCATGATTTTTTTATTTACAGGCCGCCATAAGCTGAAGAAGCTTATTATTCCAATGCTGTTGATCCTCAAGCTGTTCAAGCTGAAACTGCTTCTCTTCCTTCCTCTGATCCTCGGACTCGCCAGCTTTAAGAAATTCCTCGGATTCATGGCGCTCATTGTTCCCGGTAGGAAAAAAATATGCAAATGCTCAAAATTTGCGATATAAACGATGTAACTCAGAAATAATTTACACATTACATTTTTATATTGATTTCTTCTATTTCCGCGAATACAATTTTTGTCAGATAACCAGAAATTGTTAAGTTTTCGAAAGTCATGAATTCAAAATCAAAATAAAACGGGATACATTTAAACCACGATATTTTTATATTAACGGTACAAAAAAAGTTAGTAGAAAAAAAAAAGTACTTATAATACTCTGTTTCATCAAACCTTCCAACCTATAATCACGACCACAGTAGATATATCTTAATCGATTATTTTTATTCGTGTCTTTCAGGTGTTATCGGCTACTTCAAATTCTGCAAACCTAATCTAACATCACCATTCTCGTCCAACCATTACACCGGTCCTCAGTATTCTCCTGCTGGAATCGGTATTAACCACGGCCCGTATAGGGAGAGTCACACCCCTGTTCACTACGGCCAGTATGAAAGTTACCCTGTGAGTATTTACATTTGTAATCATAGCAAAAAAGTAATAAGTGCTCATGAATATATATTATCATGTACTTATTATGTTCCAGTATCTGCGTTCTAGTACAGTGCTGAAAAAATGTGTAAATTATTGCAAAAATTTTCGATGCTCCCAGGATTCAAACCTGTGTCTTCCGGGTAACGCGCCCAGATCCTCCAACTACTATGCTATGCGTTCGATATCCTCAACACGCATAATTCTCGACGTCTATTGCATTTTAGCAATGCTTGGTACCATTTAATGTATCTTTTATATAAAAAAATTGAATATTCAATTATTCATTGTAAAGTGTCATTTTACAATTCATATTTGAAAAATAGATAAATTTTAGAAAGTTGCTTTTTGCTATTCATATTCACTAAAATTAAAATTAATTATAATTTTATTTTTAGTGCAAATTAAGATGAAACTTAAAACTATCTAAAATTTATCAGCCACTGCCGAAGTTTGAAACTGTACCTTTCGAAAAACGCACCTAGATGCTCCCACGGGTTGATTATGGCTCTATTAAAAGGTTTTATGTAGCTTAAGCTGAAAATGAAAATTTCATTGCGTCATTTGCAAATGCGTTAATTACTTTGAAGAAGTAAAATTGTGAAAATAATTTATTCGTCATCTTAATTCGTTTGAAAATAAAATGAATAACTGGTAACGATAAACATGAACAGCAAAACCTTTCACAACAAGCACGGCAATGTTATTAATAGGGCTGTACTAATTGTACATATACCAAGAAAATACCATATAATATTCTTTAATTTTAGGGTGGTAACAAATACGGTTCCAACGGCGTCGCCTTTAGAGACCACGATTTGAGCGCCCAAGATCTCGCGTACCAAGGCTGGGAGTACAGAAATAAGAATGGAGGGGAAGAAATCAAAGCAGAGGAACCTTAAGACTGACTGCATGTAAAAATAACTCTTATTATTCAGATAATTTATCAAAAATATGATAATTTATATTATTGTTAAGTAAGGGAAACAGTTAAGTCAATATTATGTTTTTAACAATTTTAGATAATTTATCATAGTTTTTGACAAACGCCAAGAACCGATATGTCTACGTCGGTAATAAAGTATACTTTATAAGTGTTTTGTAAATAGAATCTGTTAGCTCTAATTTTATATATTATGTTTACAAGAGAACGCAATAGTAGCATTGTGTTCGATATTTAACATGAAAAACTAGACTAGCTAGTCTATTATTTTTAACATAATTATTTACCATTTGTATCTTGACCTCACATTTTTTCTTCTATTGTGTAGTTTTATTGTTTTGGCTGTTTCAAAAGCAAGCAATCGTATTGTGACAAAACCTAGATACCATTATGTATTTCAAAAGCTGTGTACAATGTTACCATAGTGACATAACTGAGAACAAGCTGGTAAAGCATGAAGTCTGCCAAATTAAGTAGCATATTTGATTTGTCAGTGACCACGTCGTATCAGTAACTCTCATTTTCTCAACAGAGGATGCAATGAAGGCTTTGCCTAGTTTAGGCATCAGTCTCCCACATTGCTTTGAACTTTAAATTTAGTTCTATATTCTATAAATTGTACAAACCGATGTGGTGAGAAATAAAGTTATCAAGTTATCAAGTTAATGAAGAAGTATTTTTATTTCACGTTATGGTTCAATACCTTTATAAGACCTCACCTCTGATTATCATAATATAATATTTAATTTTGTCACTTTATTATTCATTATGATACCCTTTTTAATTTTTTCATAAATATATTCAATGTACTGACACGCCGATTCTACTCTTTTATTATAGTATAAATTGATATGTTCATCTTTGTCCCTAAAGGTTTTAAAGTTAAGAATAAAAAGTAGGTACCGTATCGTAGCGAATTCTACCTTTTTGTTTTTATTGTCTCTATCTTTGTTATTTATGGTAGTTTTGTTGTGAATAAAATTTTACTTGAAATTGTGAAACTTGAGTTTGACTTAAAAAAGTAAAGTAAAGTAAGATCCTATACATGACCCACTGCTGGGCAAAGGCCTCCATAGTAATAAGATTTTGCCGATTAAAGGCGAACGCCCGAACACTGAGCTATCATGATTATTATACGGTTTGAAATAGCGGTTCAAAAACACTGCGCACTAAATGTGCCTAAAGTAACCTTAATCGCGTTGATATAATTTTAATTAATAAAATACTCCTTTAAACAAGCTACAACAAAAAATTTAAAAAGTTACAGCATTTTCATTCGAGACCGTCTTAACCTATAATTATAATTACATGTTCGAATAAAATTATTAGACCGTGATAAGACCACGCAACAGTCCTCACTGTTGCACGAATGGACAGGTCCGCCCGGGTAAGTACCACGACCTCGAATAAACTGTCACCTTTTCACTATCTGTCACCTTTTCACATAAAAAATAACTGGTAAGGAAAGTGCATAAATAAAATTTCCAATAGTTATTAAAAACAATGTTACAACTTTAACCTATAATTAAGAAATACACATTTTATACATTTTTAATCTATGCTCCTGACTAATGCGTGACAAAATTATAGTCACCAGTACTGTTTAACATGTGCCTTTACTGCGTCGTATCCATCTTCTTTACTAAAAAATTGGATTTCGTCCAAGTCTTTCAATATATAGACCTCCCTTTCGTTATCTCTCCTATATCTATTATGGAACGGAAGCTTCTGGAACGGCATAGGATATCTCATTAATTTTAAATTTTTCTTTGATTTTTTCCTTTGATTGACTTCTGTAGTCGCCCCATCGGTCTTATCGGTCAAGGAGTCTTGTATCAGGTTGGACACTTGTGTGGGCAACACCGTCGCTTGATAAAAATTCCTCTTAAATTTAGATTTCGACTTTTTTATTATCTTCTGTACAGTCCTCTTCGGGACTTTTTTGATTGTTTTCCGCTTACGCTTTCCGTCGTCATATTTCTTTGGTATGCGCAGCAGATTTTCAGACTTGTCGAGGTACGTCACATTATCGGTCGTTATCTGTAGCAAAGCAAAATGAAATATGTCAAGAGGGCTGTCTGAACAAACTTCCCTATTACGCATATTGACATTGGAAAGTGAATTATCGGATAGGAATATTCGTACCCTTTCATTATGGGACGACTCTATATATGTTTTAAAATAAAATCGTTCTTAGATTATTTTGGTTAGATGTCTGTTAGATTTTGAAATTATACTTCTTTTGACGCGTTTGCTTAAATTATGAGAGGAAAAATTTTACGATGCACGTTGTAAAACGACCAACTTCGAACGATTTTTCTGGAATTGCCATGGCAACCAATAACAAATTTTTGACATTAACCTACAATTCAAAGTTATTTAATTAAACCGTTATCAATTGCATTTAACGTCTTTTTCATAAACAAACAGTACTGGCACAGGGGATAATAGTTTTTTTTTTTTTTGATATTATTAGTTATTTTTGTTGTCGCTTAAGATGCATTACTTATTACGTGCATGCATAAGTACACACACAGATTTTTTTTAACAAAGGAGAAGCAGATCTATCACTTTGTCACAAATTGTATTATCAACATCTTTCATTTAAGAGCTAGTAGTCTCTTGTCGGTGATGCATCCATTTGAGTATAGTTGTGCAACACCCTCCATCTTTCTCTGTTCATAGTCGTTTCCTTTACCTACCTATATGACTAAACATTTATCTTGATGAATGAATTTAATTGACTTGATGAATTTAATGATAAATAAAGTTCAATGAGCCCCCATATTAACAAGATGGCAAGTAAACTTAGCTCAGCAGCCTTCGCAGTTAAAAGATAAGGCAGCTGACTCATCTAGAAACTACTTGTATGGTATGTTTTAGTTATTTCCATAGTATAATGACTTATGGCATTCTACTATGGAAATATCTAAACTCTAGAGATACCCGGCGGACATAAATACAACCATCATCCTCTAAAAGAGTGCTATTCGAGGAGTTTATAACTGAGCCCCAAAGAATCAATAAGAAATTTGTTCAAAGAGATTAAAATATTGACTGCTGCTTCTCAGTACATACTCGAAAATGTTATGTATCCATAAAAATAAGAATGAATTTTCAAGACATGGTAATGTGCATGATATAAATACTAGGAATGATAAATTTATTCTACTCACAACTAGACTGCGTAGAAAAATAATTCTTTTATGGGACAATGTGTACGTTTTAACAACAATATCCAAGAAAACAAAAGGAACATTTTTAAAGTAACCTTTGTGTGTAAAGGATATGATAATGTTAATGATTTTTTTTCAATGATAACAGACCCTGGAAATGGATTGATTGTAAACATGTTTCTTTATCAAATAATGGTACAAAAAATGTGCCGTTGAGTTTCTTTCGCTGATTCTTATCAGGTCAGTGGCTTTTCGTCTCCGAACCGGTAGTAGTATTTTGATAATAATCAATGAGTAATTTTAATGCTTCTATATTGAATAGAGATATTTGAAATTTCAATTCACCTCAAAAGTTATGACATGAATCCAATTTTCAAATACCAAATCTGATAAGTTAAAAAGTCAAATTTATCAATAAAGTACTTACATGTGATATGTGTGTTATGTGATTTCTGGAAGCAGCGTGACTTTTTTCTTCGAGCGCCGAATTTTCCTGAACGAAAAATAAATAACGATGTCAAAAAATATTTTTAACGTACTTCTATATCTTAAATTAACTGGTAGCCTTGAGTTATAGCATAGATTAAAAGATACGCGCTATTGATTGCGGAGTGATCTCATGCTCAGAGTTTTATTTTCAGCACCTTTGCTATTTCCATTGCTGGTTTCTCTAGAATTATTGTGTAAATTGATCAGAAGATGACCAGTCTAACGAGAGAACCTATTACTTAGTAATAACCGCTGCCCATGAACATTTGCAACACACACAGGTTTGCAGATGCGTTGCCATCTTCTAATAAAGTAGGCCCCTCACTCACCAGACGAAACGAAGTATAACACGTTATAGTATAGTATAAAATTAAGTATAGTATAACACTCACCAGACGAACTTATAACTCACGTTATACTTCGTTTCGTCTGGTGAGTGAGGGGCCTACTTTATTAGAAGATGGCAACGCATCTGCAACCGTCCGTCCGGTTAAGTACCACGACCGAAGACGCTTGCGTTTTGTGTTTCGTGGCATGACAGCGTTATGAATGGTAGTGTAACTTTGGGGGATCCCATCATTAAACATAAAATTTTGGGCCAAGTTTCTCGAGAATAATTTAGCAAGTTTAGTGAGTACAAATATCCAGTACGGATAACAAAATCCGGAGTACGGTTAAGAAAAACCTTAATGCAGTGGGTGAGATTCATTTTTTTTTCTTATGAAACAAACGGTTATTTCGGTTACAACGGTACCAACGAAACTACCACTTCACGCCGGTCTTCTGTGAGGTCGTGTTACTTAAGAAGCCGAAGCTGTTGTGTGGCCCTACCACAATTATTACAAATACAGATCTATTCTTATCTCAATTTGTTTTATTAATACTTATTCATTTCCAACAAACATGGACGCAGATGTGATAATTCTTTTACTTCAAATTGTTGGCACCGCCGCCCATTGTAAATCACAACCCATGAACATCGTAGGCAATCGTAACATGTATACGTCATTATATATTTTGGATATATCGGTCCAATGGAAACGGGCCTAATTTACGCCGTCATTGATTGTATCCCACCACACTGTTCGATATTGTGCTGAAATAGGTATTCGTAAATCATTGATTAGGTCGAATTAATTGACTTAACAACAGCACTTTGGACGTTGACGTTGATAAACAAGGGCAATCAACGGGCCTTATCACACTTAGACCGATTTACCGTTTAAATGAAACAATTTACGGTTACGATTTGTTTACTCACGCAAATGAACAATTTTTATCATTTGTGAGCCCTCGGGTGTTGCAGGTGTTCATGGGCGGCGGTAATCTCTTAACATCAGGTGAGCATCCTGCTCGTTTGCCCCTTCTCTTCATAAAAAAACGAGAAACTAAGTTTCAGCACTAAAACCATTAATATTGGGTACAGTGAAGTTACTTATCCCAACGTATTAACATAAAATTATAAGAGTTGTACAACACAATAGGTGTACAATTCCTTAATATAAAGAAGTGTGAAGTATGGTTGACAACGCATATGTAAACCCTCGGGTGTAGCAGATATCCATGGGCGGCGGTATTCACTTAACATTAGGTGAACCGTCTGCTCGTTTGGCAACTTTTCACATAAAATAGTAGTTACTTCACAATCAATGTATTGGTTTCGTGATGAAATTTTTCTTACTTCTAGTTAAACCGCAACTCCCTACTCTCACGGCATCCGAGTGCGGGAAAACTTTTCAAAATAAATTCGCACCAACAGATAATCAAAAGCATAGAGAAAATTGCGCCTAAGCAGACAGATCGTCTATAGTTCATTATGTATTAACATAGTAACTATAGATCATCTTTTTTTTATTACAAAATAAACTAGTAGTTGACATATTTTGCCTGTAAGATCAATAGAATAAAAAAAACTCAACTCACCTGCGCCGACTCGGAGGCCACGAACGCCTGCAGAAAAATATTAAGAGAAAGTATAATTAGAATCATCATTGACATCAACACACATCTACGCGGTCCAACGGGCGAGAGTTAGAATCACGAAGAGTCACTCTTATAAACTACCGGCCGGGTTTATCGAGATAGAAACCCATAACACCATTGTTCTCTCGGCTCAATGCCGGCTGTTTGAAAAAAAATTTACCGCAGGACGAAGCTCGCTAGTGGCGACTTTTTGTTCTAATCTTAATGAGAAGAGAATGTCAATGTTATTTCTTTGTACAAATCCGATGTTGATAAACAACCTCGGTCCACTGCTTCATATTTCCGGGTGATATCATCATAACAGTTAACGCGTGTACTTACATGTGATAGAACATTGTAGATCTGCTCTTTGCGATTGTGGAAGAATAACTTTAGAAGTTCAATAATTCAGCTTTATTGCCTTATGTATAGCTCTTAGCTAAGGAGAACGATGTTAATAATGAGTAAGTACTTCAACTTAACAACTTCTTTAAAAAAATGCAACTGCTGCGTAAACGTAACAAAACGAATATTAAAGTATTATATAAAGTTATTTTGTAGCAATAAGAAAAAGTTCTCATCGAAATTTGTAAAAATTAACCTAACAAGACTTAGGTCGTATCATGGAACTGAGACACCCCAATAATTTTTTAACAGTCAAGTTTAACCTACGCTGTTAAAAACCGAAATGTAAATACTATATTTAAAAAAGTTGTGTTTACATGATTTATCCACGAGTTTATACTTATCATCTCATAATAACGTTAGAGATTTGTTTTTATAACAGATGAAGAACATCACTACAATCCTAACAGAAACTCAACGCAACAATTGCTATGTTCTTTCACCTGTAAATTATACCAAGGCAGCTGCTATTTTCATGATATGATACAAGTTTCAAAGATAACTAGTTACAAACAATTAAACTCCCACTAGAGAAACAAATATAATCAACATTCAATTATCGTGACATTTTTTCAGGAACTTAATCGTATTCTGAAACAAGTAAAATACGAATCATAATATATAGGCATAAGAAGATTCATGGTTTATATAATCCCTGCCCAAGTCTATCTAATATGAGGCTGATAATTTTGAAAATTTTATGATGCTTCTCAGAGTAAGTGAGAAAGAAACGGTATCAATTTTTTTTTCAATAATACAGTTTATATACAGACGTCTCATGTTATTAAGAATAAAGAATTAATTAAAGTTTGTTGACTTTTGAAAGTATCTTTCAAATTCACTAAACTCGGCGACGCTGACGGTTACCATACCAAACTCTTTCTATCTACTCGTATATTAAATTTGATATTATTGAGTGCTTGTACTGTAAGACGGACAGTTAATATTGATATTTTTTTTAATGTCACCTGAATATTGTGCCTTGAATGTTATAGACGCTTCTGTGATTTCAGATATGCTTTGTACAAGTTTCGATATTTCTATTATATACACAATTCGATGGATTCACATGTTCGCTCGTCTTAGACGCTGCGAGTCAAAAGAGCGTGTATGTATCAGAGTACTGTCCGAAGATGGAATATTGCAAGGAAGGGACACATGTCATGTGCATGTTCTACGATAAAGTAAGTGAATTAAATTGGTGAATCAGCTATTATATAGGTAACATAGGTATGACCTTCTGAGCGATATCGAAAGCAATATAGAAACAAGAAGATATGACCGATTATTGCTTCCATTGCGGATTGACGAAAAGATTAGGAATTATTTTAAGGTTTTTTCACATCTCGGAACTAAGATATTCCTATATATATATATATATTCAATTTAGTTCGAAGTTTTCAAGCACCGCCGAGAAGATCTTATGTCCTTTATATGAACTCAGATAAAAAACACTAAAAATATGACAAAAAAAACAACAAGAGTTAAAAGGATACCTAAACACTGAGCACTCAATTCAGCTTAGTTAGGTTAATTAAAATATATAAAAGCACCTAAATACTATACTCAGCACCAAATAAATCATGTTCGATTAGGTTAGTTAAGATATATAAAAAAATTGAGCCTTGAAATAAAATTTAAATTGTAAAGCAGGTTGCATTTCTAAATGCCTAGTCTAAATTTAATTTCATCGATCCCTCGCTTGAATTAATTTAGACTAAATCAATGTGTTTCAATCAGATTTTATTATATTTAATTAGACTTTTTTTCTCTTTTTTTTAAACTTGTTAATGTTTTTAAAAAAAAGAGACAAAAGAGACAAAACATTGCCCTTAATTTAGGATAACTTTATCCCGTGTTGTAAGGACGTTTTACAAACACAAAATTCACACGGACAAACACCCAGATGCGAAACAACTACCTGTGGGTCACACAAATAGTTGTCCCGTATGGGAAGCGAACCCATGACCCCCGACACCGAAGCCAATGCCTTGGCCACTGCACCACGGAGTCATCCTTTGAACTGCAGAAGCGGTTACAGATGCTATATACTGCTACTGCTGAAGTGCTAAAAAGATAACAAGTTCAGCGTGTAAACAGAAAAGAGCTGATACCGATTGTAAGCTTAACCCTTCATAATTTCTGCAACTAGACACTGGAGGAGCTTACAAATGACTAGACCAGGGCTAAGTTTAGCGTCACGCTAGCAGATTTTGGTTGAGAGTTTTATTTTAATAGATATTGTCCTTTTTATGGCCAGTCGCTGAGCCTGTTGCATAAAAGGCTACTTATGCCAATGAATAAATACATTTTATTGGTAAACTGTCTCGTACTTGACTTGTTTTCTCACTGACTATAATTGTTGATATAGTATTTGTCATTAAAACCATCAGAACATCCAGGCACCCCCGGAAAACAAGTAATACCACATATTAATTCTACTTCGCAGGACAGAGAGATGGGCCCTCATTGCCTGAACTCACAAAATATAACGATAACACCGGTCTTGGCGTCAAAGCTTCTAGAAATATCCAATGCGTGAGTCATCACAACCTATTCGGTACTAGTTTTATCTTCACAGATTTGGTTACTTTTTTTAATAGTGTCACAATTAATCTTCTAACGAACATAGTCGCTAACATAAATTGAATATATGCGTGAAAAGGCTTAATCCATTAGAAATGTGCCTTTGATAGCAACTTTCAAAACAATAACATTAAGGTTAATGTTTAATATTATGACTTCTTCATGAAGAACCCGCGGATGAACTCGCAAGTATCAATTATGTCCAGATAGCATAGTCTAGCTGACTATCTAGACAATTTTTATCTTAAAACTTACAAATTTCTAACGTTAAAATATGTAGAAAAAGTGCGAAAAGATTGTCGCCGCTGTGGGAATCGAACCCACGTCTTCGGCATTCGCGGCCTGACGCTCTAGCCACTGAGCTAAACGGCTGATTACCACACCGACGAAAATCTTAACGCATTCTTCTACATTGTTTTCTTAGCATTTGAAGCAATGCTTGGCGCCATCTATTGTTATATCCTTTCCAGCATACAAACAACTTCGAATATCGTTTTACAACGATAATTCGAACGAGAGATGTCGCCATTGCTTTTTAGAAATTTAAATTGTTTATAGTACTAATCTTTGCACTTAAGAGTTGAACATTAAAATATGTAGAAAAAGTGCGAAAAGATTGTCGCCGCTGTGGGAATCGAACCCACATCTTCGGCATTCGCGGCCTGACGCTCTAGCCACTGAGCTAAACGGCTGATTACCACACCGACGAAAAAGTCTTAACGCATTCTTCTACATTGTTTTCTTAGCATTTGAAGCAATGCTTGGCGCCATCTATTGTTATATCCTTTCCAGCATACAAACAACTTCGAATATCGTTTTACAACGATAATTCGAACGAGAGATGTCGCCATTGCTTTTTAGAAATTTAAATGTTTATAGTACTAATCTTTGCACTTAAGATTGAACATTAAAATATGTAGAAAAAGTGCGAAAAGATTGTCGCCGCTGTGGGAATCGAACCCACATCTTCGGCATTCGCGGCCTGACGCTCTAGCCACTGAGCTAAACGGCTGATTACCACACCGAAGAAAGTCTTAACGCATTCTTCTACATTGTTTTCTTAGCATTTGAAGCAATGCTTGGCGCCATCTATTGTTATATCCTTTCCAGTATACAAACAACTTCGAATATCGTTTTACAACGATAATTCGAACGAGAGATGTCGCCATTGCTTTTTAGAAATTTAAATTGTTTATAGTGCTAATCTTTGCACTTAAGATTGAACATTAAAATATGTAGAAAAAGTGTGAAAAGATTGCCGCCGCTGTGGGAATCGAACCCACGTCTTCGGCATTCGCAGCCTGACGCTCTAGCCACTGAGCTAAACGGCTGAATACCACACCGACGAAAATCTTAACGCATTCTTCTACATTGTTTTCTTAGCATTTGAAGCAATGCTTGGCGCCATCTATTGTTATATCCTTTCCAGAATGCGTTTAGCACTATAAACAATTTAAATTTCTAAAAAGCAATGGCGACATCTCTCGTTCGAATTATCGTTGTAAAACGATATTCGAAGTTGTTTGTATACTGGAAAGGATATAACAATAGATGGCGCCAAGCATTGCCTTAAATGCTAAGAAAACAATGTAGAAGAATGCGTTAAGATTTTCGTCGGTGTGGTAATCAGCCGTTTAGCTCAGTGGCTAGAGCGTCAGGCCGCGAATGCCTAAGACGTGGGTTCGATTCCCACAGCAGCGACAATCTTTTCGCACTTTTTCTACATATTTTAATGTTCAATCTTAAGTGCAAAGATTAGCACTATAAACAATTTAAATTTCTTACGTTTGAAAATATTTAAATTTATTGTGTGGCGGCTAAATGGATGTTTTATTTTCAGAATACGGAGTAAATTAGCTCTTGGAAAGGAAAAAGGTAGTGGCGGCCAGCCTTTGCCGAGGGCCTATGGAATGTTGAGATTGGTACGAACTTTACTTTTAGTGCCAAAATAATTGTGGAAGTTTTAGTACCCAAACGCTAGTTTCGTAATACATAATTATACAAATATAGAAACTCTGTAGTAACAAGCTTAAAAAGAATCCAACTGCAAATTTAAAGCTTTTACTGAGTGACTAGAAAAGTCGCGATAATTTTATCCAATAGATGGCCGGATGACACAACGCTCATACCACGAAAAATAATTCATAATTAATATATTTTTCACCCATAATTCACTTGACATATTTCAGCAATGGGACGAAGAATTAGCGACATTCGCACAAGTGTTAGCCAATCAATGCATCTTGAGACACGACATTTGCAGGGCAAGCAGTAAGTACAATAATAAAAATATAAGGACACAATAACTAGAGTCTATAGCTGAATGAATTTATAACTACTTACATTTATAAGTCAGCTTACCAATTTTTCTGCGGACCGAAAACTACTAAACACAAGCACTGCTGCTTTGATAGCAGAAATTCTCTTAGTTGATACAATTCATTACCGTGAATAATCTTATTATCTTCGTGTCCAATTAGTTACATTTCTGTATCAATGGATACAAAAACAATTTAAAAAAATGTGTTCCAAATCCACATTATGAGTCATCACAGTAATCAGAAGGAATTCTTTTTGAAGCTTTTACAACACGGAGATTCTTCTCAAAGCAGTTTTTCTTCTTTTTAGAAAATTTCGCCAATCCCGGACAAACTGCTGGACGGGTGCGATACACATACCCTGATTGGAAACCCATAACCAACGCCTTTACTGGAGTTACTGCCCAGGAGCCACGCCTTAATACCGAGAAACTGATGTACGCTATTAAACAGAGTGCCAAATCTTGGTATTTGCAAAAGGCGGGAGTTACACAAGACATGATACTGAAATATCCCGACTGGGTCCAGTAAGTTATTAAACCACACAATCAAAAATCAACGAAATACTCCGTTTAGTATGTTTTTACGGGTTTAGTAAATTTGTTATTAAAATAAGAATTGTAACCTTAATGCACGAATTGAAAATTGCACCTGAAACTGCACCTCGTATCATTTGTTTTGCAATATGGCGCCAAGGTTCTGGCTTTTAACTCGCAAGAACTGCATTAATTGGAACCCATCGTTAATATTATATATTTTTCCTTCAGTTTTCGAAATTCATTTTCAATTCATTCACACCTATCAGACATATTAATCCAAAAAGTTTCATCAAGCTATGCTCCAACTGGAAACTGAAACTTAGTGACAATATATTCAAGGGGTATTTTGCGTTCGATTCGTACATTGTATCTGGAATTTTTTAAATCTTTCAATTAAATAATAATTTAAATTCCTTCCGGAAATTATTCTAATGATTTTTATGATACAGACGATAGTAGCTGCTGTTTTAACTGGAAATGGAACTGCAAGTGTTTCATGATCAACAAGGATATTGACCGTTGGACGATCACAGCACCAAATATCAGGCAGGCGTGTTACCGACCACTACAAGAAAAATAAACCTTTACCCACTTTGGCCTGAATGATGTACAGCTAATATGATCCCCGTTTTATTGGATCTTATTTAGTCCGAACATTTCGGTTGTAGAGGTTTTTCTTCGAAAATAAGACAAAAATTTACCATTTTACTATTATTGTAGAAGAAAATCCAAATGATGGACGAGCGAAAGAGGTTTCAGTAACTTCGTTGTTGTAACTGAGGACATTGTAACATTACAGACACCCAACAAAGCGCGACGGCAAGCTGTATTTGGAGATGGTCACTGGCCACGCCACTCACATGGGATGCGGAATGTCAGCCTACACTGAATACACTTACAAAAATAACAACGCCGCGTTGAATTATAATGTAAAGTTGAATTATTATAATGAAAGTTATAACCTTAATGGAAATAATTAGTGTTTTGTTATAAATTTAACTTTGAAATTAATGTTGATTTTATGAAAAAGTAGTCAAGCGAGCAGGTGGTTCACTTGATGTTAGCTGATAACCGCTGCCCATGTACATCTAAAACATTTGAGGATTTGCAGACGCGAATGAGAAGGTCATGATCACGAATATTGGTAAAGCATTATGCAACTTTGTGGTGTTGTCCCTAATCCCCATCGCCTGAACTACTTGCTTACTTTAAAAAACAAAATGTCGGCATAGTCCCAACGTCATATTTTTCTTCCCCAAATCAATGCAGTCTGTCGAAGTCATCTGCAACTTCTCCGCTCGTCCGGCCCCTGGCACCTCTGTGTACTACACGCAGCCGCCACCAAACGCCACCCCGGGGTCCCCGTGCGGCTGCCCCCTCGGCTACGACGATGACGAGGACTGTCTATGCAACGAGAACCCAAACTACAAACGTAATGCATAACGACTTATCGGCGTTCGCTTTTTAGTAAAAAAAGTAAAGTAAAGTAACAGCCTATACATATCCTACAGCTGGGCAAAGGCCTCCTCTATACAGAGGGTATAGTCTACCACGCGGCCCTGCGGATTGGCGGACTTCACATATCTTCGAAATATTTTCTTTTGTTATTATTTCGAAAATATGCAGTTTTCCTTCACCGCTTTTTAGTACGGAAAAATATGTTTTTTCTTTTATGTGGAAAGGTGGCAAACGAGCTGGCCGGTTCACCTGGTGCTAAGTGATAACCGCCACCCATTGACATTTGCAACACTCGTAGGGACGCAGATGCGTTGCGACCTTTTAATAAATTGGGCCCTGCTACCTCACTTACCAGACGAAACGCAGAAGTATAACTCTTCCACTTCACGCCAGTCTTCTGTGAGGTCGCGGTACTTACCCGAACGGACCCGCATGTTCGTGCAACCGCGAAGACTGTGCGTGGTCCTACCACAGTCAAATAAAAATATTAGGCATTAACTTACCTATGCTGATCTAATAAATGAAATGAAAAAAAAACCTTCGAAATAATGACTGAAAGGAAATAACGAAATTTAAGAAGTAATTTCTCCAATTTCAGCGACTCCAAAACCGAAAATACGCTCGTGTAGCGGCAAAAATTGTGTCCCATCAATAGTACTACTGCCAATCATAGCAATGGAAGATGCAACACCTAACCAACTGAAACGGTATGATATGCGTAGAACAAATAATCATTTATTCTAAACAAAAAAAAGGATTCGGTTAAATATGCTGACGAAATTCACTTCAGATTATCAAAGCAAACGACAAAACATTGACTTTTGGGTACCACGGGAATTTGATGTTTTGTAAACCATGAATCGTTACTTCTTTATAAATATGTTTTTTTATGTGAAAAGTTGCCAAGCGAGTAGGCGGTTCACCAGATGTTAAGTGAATACCGCCCATGGACATCTGCTACACGCGAGGATTGCAGGTGCGTTGACAACCTTTTGAAAAACCTCCGGCAAAACGCGAAAGTATTTGTCATACTTCCACTTGATGCCGATCTTCTGTGCGATCGTGGTACATGCCCGGACGAGCCTGTCCGAATATTGAAACTTATGTATGTAGGTATAACCATTTCTGAGAGAGGATACCTACGGAGTATTTCGCCTGTTTCTTCTCCGTTAGAGGAACCTCATTACGAAACGGTGGTAGATTTTAAAAAAATGACTATCGATAAATGAAATGTATATTTCTTATTTCGATGAATAAATGATTTGATTTGATTTAATTTGAATGTGATACCATTTACTTTGTTTACACTACTTTTATAGTCGCGTAGTATTATTTCACTAATATTTAAAGTATAAGTCACTCCACATTTTTTAGAGATAAATGGTGTTACCAGACCTCGCTGTATACCGAATAAACTAAAAACGCCACATACTACTATTTCAATAGATACTAGCAATAAGCAAGCTAGATTTAAATTAAATATGAGTCCTATTTACGGCTTTAATATATAACATTTTTATTTCCGTAAAACAAAAAAGAATTCAAATCAACATCCTATTCAATTTTGAGGATTTGCCTGGTGTTTCTTGATATTCAAAGTCCAATGGCAATTGTATTAAAACGGGACCTCTTAAAATCATCTCTTTAAAACAAACAATATTCCAAATCGACTTATAAATAACGGAGTTTTGAAATAACAAACATAAAAAAATACATTATTATTTATTGTATATAATTATCATATATAATCATAATATATTCATCAGATAAAAAAACATTACTTTAAAACGATTATTTATTGAATTGTTTCCTCAGATATAACAATGAAACGCAAGACCAACTGAACCATATGGAAATATTCAACAATGACAACTCTGTAAATAATGGTGCCGTAAAAGAGGTATTTATTAACAATGATCAAATGAAAACGCCTCAATCTTAAGAAAATACTCTATATTCATACATATAATTATCCTAAGACTCAATCAGCATAGTATAATAATCGCCATCACACAGAAGATTTTACACCTTGGAGGAAGCCTTCTCATACTAACCTAATAAAATTGTTTTACTAGACTTTGTTTCTCAGCTATTCTGCATTATAGACCTACTCGAAAAGTCGCTTGCCTGAACTTAGACCAACACATCACCTAACGAATTTCTAAAATAAACTAAATAACACCAATAAAACTACTTAAATTCTGCAAAAGTTTTCTTTTCATCTAATATGTTTTCATTAAACAAACGATCATATTTTTTCAGGGCTACTCGCGTAATACCTTTGACGAAACGCTACGCGAGGCACGCATTAATTTACAAAAAGCTCGGTAATCCAATTTATACCTTCACGTTCACACTTCCCCCATAGATGGACTGTAACGAAATTTATTATATTAGAGCTTGCGTAATTGCATGTAACCGCTTTGGCCCAGATCCGGTATATTGCGAAAGTACTTAATTTATATGACGAAATCCCCTAAATGGATTTAATTTCGGGTTCAGAATTAAAAACTACTGTGCACTTCTGTAATCATCAATACGAAGCCTTCATTATATATTGGAAGCAGATTTTGCAAATAAAAGCTGTGTCCAGTAGTGAAGGAAGACAGTAAATAATTTTGAATTGTACGTTGATGGAGTGACGACCTGTGCTAATGTGCCGGAAGGCAAAAGCTGGCTCTGATTCGTGCTTAGTGGTAGTCGGTGGGGCCTGTATTCAGCAGGTCCAATCATGCAAGTGCAGAAGCTACTATGGAGCCCTAACTCGGTCAATTTTCGAATTGTTTGTTATAAAGCAGTAGACTCAACAGGCTTAAATAATGACAACAAAAATGATTATACGTTTTCTTTAAGGAATAAAGCTGCAACCGACCACGTGGGTTAACTATAGGCCCCCTTCGTTATCATTTACTTAATATGACTGACCCCAGCTACCTCACTTACGAAACATTTACACACCAACAAAAATTTTATTTCCTGTAGTTGACGCCATCTTGTTTGAAACTTTAATAGTCTCAGACGAACCGGTCTAATCATGCAAGTGCAGAAGCTACTATGGAGCCCTAACTCGGTCAATTTTCGAATTGTTTGTTATAAACAACGTTGACACTAAAAAAATACATTAAAGAACAGTGTATTTTAAAATATTCAAATATTCATGGCACGCATACCACTATATCACTGTAAAGTTTATAAAATTTCGAAAATAATGATCTATGGACCTTTTCAGTAAGCCGACCCACAACGATCTATGGAAAGTGCAGCACCAATACACCCCGAAAAACCCTTTGATATCGGAAAATGGACAGCAGGCACAATCTATTAACAAAGGCCTTAATCACGTTCGACCTAGTGCGGTGAGTGTTGTGCACATAATGCAAAGCATACCTATTCAGAAGTGGAGACTATGCTCTTAACTTACGAACTGATTACATCTCAGCAAAAATCCAAAAGTGTAATTTACTCACTTATCTTAATAGACACTTGTAACTTATTTTATTTGCGCGTCGCTCTAAATGAGCATTATCACAGACAGTATTTGTTAACAGGTGAACATTCTACCTAGATAGAAACATCAATCAAACTTTCGATCACGAACTAATTTGTTATTAAAAAGCACGCTGTTACTCAGTGGCTAGAGCGTCAGGCCGCGAATGCCGAAGACGTGGGTTCGATTCCCACAGCGGCGACAATCTTTCCGTACTTTTTCTACATGTTTTAATGTTCAATCTTAAGTGCAGAGATTAGCAATATAAAGAAGTTTAAAACGCATTAAATTAATTACAACCATCGATGTTACATCGTACCAAGTTAAAAATACAGCAATAATCAATTAAGAAATTGATGAAATGTTTTACTGTGTTCATTAAATTTTTATTTCTTTTCAGAAACAACAATCTAAACTAAGTATATTTTCTAAATCTAATACGTTTGAGCTACCGCTTAAAGGCCAAATAATCAAAGATGTACTACCAAGAAAAGATTTCTCAAAAGTCCAAAATCTTGTTAATATATATTTGAACAAAAAAAGAAACTTTACTCCATTAAAAGTTGATTATGATGAAGTACTTACAGAACGTGTCACATTACCATCAATTTTAAATGAAATGAAGTCAAAAGATTACACGTCTGATAACTACAACATTACATATGCAGATTCCGATAAAAAAGTATTATTTTTATTAGACAGTTTAGAGAGAGAAGTAAAGCATACTGATCTGGATGAGAACGAGAAAAAACTGTTAGACAGGAAACTGAGAAAAATATATGGACGTATAAGCAACGAACCAAAAAACACGTTATCTTCTGAGAAAAGTAATCTGAAAAAGGCAGATTCGAATGATTTTCAAAAATATGAGAATAGTGTTAACGAGCACTTACTTGCAGAACTTCAAAGGGACGCACACAAGCATTCATATAATTTTGATAGCGATAAATCCGTTGAGCTATCTAGGAAAGATGAGAAAGTTCAAAATGTTAAACAACGATTAGTGGAGAAAGACTTAAATCGATATGATGAGCTTGGTACTTTGAAAAAAAGATTGGAAAAGCCCATAAACGAAAACGAATATAGCCTTAATACAGATGTAAACTTAAATAACATGCTGAAGACTAGGAACGTTAACGCCTTAGTTGAATATAACCCTAGAAGCACCAAATTAATAAATTTAGGCAACGAAGCTAGTTTAGACGAAAATCAAAGACACAAATATAGAAAACTCGAATTCAAGGATGAAAGATACGTATCGAAAAATAATGACAACATGAGGCCAAAAAGTCACTATTTGAATCATTTAGACGATTTAGGGGAGCTTAATTACGAACGAAGAAAGTATTATCAAGACAAAATTAATTACTTAGAACAAAAGCTTCAGAAAGCTCGAGTGCACCGACATCGCAACAAGGTAAGCTTTAATTGTAATGTTAATTATGCTTTAGTCTATGTTAGTGCTCAGCGGTGATGAAAAACATAGTAAGGAAGCATACACATTTTACGGAATGATAACAAAAAAATATTTCGAACATATGTGAAGTACGCAAATCCGCAGTTGGGTCGCGTGGTGGATACCCTAATACCCTTTGCGCAGAGGAAGCCTTTGCCTAAAAACTTTTTCACTCACGTAAGCTCCGGGTCTCGTTATTTACGTCAAATACACGGATTATTATCTAGCGCTCGATCAAATTAAGATATAAACGACTGTCACAAAACATGATCAATAAAGAAAAACCTCATTTGGGCATGGCTAGAATATGTAGGACATAATGTAAATATCTTATTCTTAAAGTTTACATAAGAATACATAAATGTAAATTTATTAATAATTTATTATTTATATATTATTTATTTATATATTATATATGCACAAACATATATTTATATAGGTAGACTTAATGCTATCAACATTATCTCCCAGTCAACCTTGGGGTGTCCCATAAAAGTTTATTTATTTCCAAATAAAAAAAGCAATCGTAAGAATTTTAAAATATCTATATTACGTATTATGGCTACTAACAAAATACTAAGTATAGTATTTTATTCATCATTTTAACTAATATCACCTGTAAGTAATATCAGTTAAAATGATACAAATACCATATATATGCATATACATATTATAGCTTTGAAACTTTTAATACTCTAGATTATTCTAAAAACAGACTTTGTTGAGCTTGGTTTTTGTGTTCTCGAAGCTTCGCATAAAACAATGTGGCAAAAAAGTGAATTTCCTGTTTTAGCTCGAGGTAAATCGCCCGCTGCGCCCCGTTCAGCCCGACCGGAATGAATTGCCACTGCGAACAAATAACAAGAAAACTCGGAAAAACGACTTTTATCTGCCGGACAGAGCCCGAAGCGTCCATGGATTTTAGTCAATAAAACTGCAATTTGATCTAAGTCCATTTTTATTATGCCAGACAAAAATCGTGATTTTTTGTTATCATTCGTGATCGTGAAAAAGTTATGATAGATGCCGCTGTAAGTGAAAGAAGTTTAAAAAAATAATAAAAGAAGTATCACGTCATAATGTGTACTGGGATGATATGCTTCATGGTAATTACATATCCTTCTCACGTTGATCGACAGAAAATGTTGTTAAGGTTTGTTGTTAGTCGGCCCTCATATCATTATGAATGAAAGATACCTCAATAAATAAGAGTGGAGATATAGGTTAGGTTATATTATAAAATTTAATTATAAAAAAATAAAAACATTGTTTCTTTTCATTATCAATACCCAGTATAATACTCTCCTGTGATGAATATTAAAAATATGATGAAGGATAAATTTCACGACTGAGTATTTCATAACTTGTGACCAATAATTGATTATAGTATCGTCGTCAAAAGGAATAGCGTTAGATATAAAATAGCTGAAACGATAAAGAGCAATGAATTCTAGTAAGAAATGATTTATACATGAACACAAAACTGCATATTTATATCTAAACTGGTTTAACATTTAACTTGTATTTTAAAATCCGTAAATCATTCACAATCACATAAAGAGCATAAAAAATAAATAGACATAGTCGTGTGTTATTATTATGGCAACCAAAGCATGGACGCCTCGCAAACAACTTCATCATATCGCCTTTGAGATTCGATGTGCGCCCATTGTAAAAATTACTCTCATAATTTTTTCCCAACAAAGTACAACTTCAAAAAACAATATTTTCTTTCTGTGTTTGCTTTAAGAGATAGCTATATATAACTCATTTGGTCCCCAATCATGAACATTTCTCAAACTCCTGAAGAGTATTATAGACAAAAAATATTAGGTAGCATAGAATCGCAATATCTCGCAAAGATAAACTCTCTTGCTGGGGAAGTAGACATTATTATAAGAAGATTTTTTACGGTGGTAGGGCCACGCAGGAGCCTCGGCTGTTGCACGAATGGTTGCAGGCTTGTCCGGATAAGTACCACGACCTCACAGAACCGGCGTAAAGTAGAAGTATAATACTTTCGCGTTTGTCTGGTGAGTGAGGTGGCCGGAGCCCAATTTCCAACAAAACGTTGTTAACGCATAGGGAACCCTCGGGTGTAGCCGATGTCCATGGGCGGCGGTATTCACTTAACATCAGGTGAACCGTCTGATCGCTTGGCAATTTCGCTTCCCAAAACGATGCAGAAATCTAGATCATTTTAAAGAAAAAAAATTAAAAAGAATAATTTAATTCTTTTAACATACTATAACAATTTAAAGTAAAGGCTAAATTCTAAATGAATCAATCATTAATTTCAATAAATTTGAATCATAATTTGAATTCTGATTTGAGACTGTATTCGTTTTGAAATTTAAATTGAAATCAGTTCTAAATGTCGCTATCGTTATACTTTTGATGTTTCACGGATTTTGTGAGCGTATTTCATGCCCCGGGCAGCAATCTCACTGGGCGAAGGTTTGCAAAATCCACCTAACTACTTGCTTATTTATCGATAGCGTTGTTTGAATAACAGAGTACGGTAACCAGCTCGACGTAACGACGGCAAATTAATGTTTTTCAGCGTCATTTCAGCGTAGAGTCCGACGTGGCGAATAGCAACGGATTCGAAAACCGTTCCGCGCTTAATTGATTTCGGAATTTGAAAACGTCTAAAGCGGAACTCAACAAGCGCACCCGTGACAGCTACATTGGAAATGTTCATGAAATGTCTATTAATACAATTTCGTTTCGTTTTTGTTTTGTGCATTTACATTAGGCTGGCACTATCAAAGGATCTACACGTAAAAGAGGTACCTTACGAGAATTGTAACCAAATATTTTGTAAAACATATTAATAATATTTGATACTGTATTTATTACAAAGTATTACTAAGACAATACGTCTTTGTTCATCATTATTACATAAGAGTTTTGTCTTAGAGTTTTGTCTTTTGTACAAGCTGGTGCACAATTGTAATAGTTTTATTAAAAAAAAACTATTACAATTGTGCACCAGCTTGTAGTTTCTATTGTTGTTTACTGTTCACATAAAATATGAACTAACTACAATCTCTTAATTTCTCTAACTTCTTCTCTCTATCTTCTCTACTTTAACTGACTAATTTCCATACGATTCTTTATCATGAAGTAGCCTCGGCTGACAAAGGACAAACGCCTCCTATTCCGTACGCACTCACATTTCGACAAATGTATGAAAGTATACCATGGCGAATATTTAATATGTCTGATATAACAAGAATATGATTTCTACGTTTCGGAAATTTCTTACTTCTAAAATTTATAAATATTCCAGATCGCTTCCTCCAAAAGAGACATTATGGAACTCTTAAAGTTGCAGGACTTGCTGGTTGCGCCATTGCCAAAATTGAAAAGGGTGAGTTTGAAAATTCGATGAATAAAATATACGATCGTTATGACACTGTCACACAACTTTCATAAAATACTTCACACAACTTTTATAAAAGCTACAGCCGCATCCTTCGCAATTTGACGCTTTTTTTGCTTTCCTAGATTAATCCTTTATCCATTATGCTAATAAATAGATTTTAAATTTTTCATTTATTGTTAATTTTACTTCGAACAAAGTATATATAACAAGTATCATATATTACATATGTCTAAGAATATATTCAAGTGGGTATAAGGCCCCTTCAGCCAAAAGTTCCAGAACATGGTCACGGCTGGCAGACTTCACAGATCTATGTAATATTTTCTGTATTATTTCGAAGACATCTCGATTTACTCGATATTCTCTTTGGCTGTCGGCTGCATTGAGAAACAGCACTTGAAACTGCGAAATTGCTTAGACGTGAACTAGGTTGCTATAAGATGCTTAATTAGAAGCGAGCGCGGGGACACAGCCAATAAGGCTCTAATAGAATGTCTATCAACATAAATAAAATGAAAGAGTTCTGTCTGCTACTGTATATATTTCAAATAATTCTAGTAATAATAATAATTAAATAATTATAGTAAAAATAATACTAGTACTAGTAAAAATTAAAGTTTAATTTCTCAGACACTTGCCCTTATCTAAAAAAATGTATTGTACTAGCTTCATTTCATGAAAATTTTTTAAAGTTTTAAGAAACAACGAATATTATAGGCACTACGTGTTCAGTTTGTTACCGTTTATGTTTTTTTACCGTGGAGAAGTGGGACAAGCGGTGTGGTTGTTAACTATTAGTTAAATATTACTATTAAGTTATTAAGTTAAATATTAATATGTAAACAACACAGAAGAAGTCACGGGAATCACCTTGTACAGAATATTGCACACATATCAATTACAACGTTTTCAGCTTGTTGTATTTGTAGTTCATTATTTTTTGTATGAAAATAAGTTAACTTTACATTTGTAACTTTCAGTTCAGTCGCCACGTTCAGATGAAGAACGAAAGTGTCCTGAACCATTTGCTAAACGAGGTGAATCATAAACCACAAAGTTCTGCGTTCGATAACCAGAATCAAGCTATAAAAAAAGCATTGCGCATAATACAAATGAAATTGCGGAGAATGATGAAGAAGAAAAAGGCTTTGAAAAATAAATATGCAATGCATCGCAATAAAACTCGAAGTCCGCTGCATAAAACACCACAACCAATCATGATTAAAGACAGTATTAGTTTTATGAAGACGTAAAAATAAATTACAAAGCAATTGTTTCCTAATGACGAATTGTTTTTATTTCCTTCACAAATTTAACAGTTTTTAAACGTAAGTAATAAAAAGCGATATAAATTAAGTTATATGGTTTCTTGCATGATTACAGGTTTTAATCGTAAGTAATAAAAGCGATATAAATTAAGTTGTATGGTTTTTTGCATGAATTAACCAAATATGCTAAGTAGTAGTATTTCCTTTTTTAACTTAAAAGTTATGTTCAAAGAGTTATGTTGATATTAATTCGAGTCGATGTGAATATTGTAAGAATTACTATTATTTTTTGGTAGTCAACAAAGATATAATACTATGACAACTCTCTTAGAAGGCGAAATATTTATTGCTCTGTCCACCTGCTTTCAACTCTAAAATAGGAAATTCAAGGAAAACTTTACTCATATATTTGTCAAAATGCCGGAAAATCCAGCTGAATTATGGGGCGTTCAAAGACTGTTTACATAAATATACTCGTTTGGTAATTTTGGGTGAGGAAAAATTCATAGGTTTGCGTCACGGACAATGTAAAAAGTGTACCTACAGCTATGTGTACGACGTATTGCGCTTGGCCCGTAGAGGAACCCCTCCGACCGAATTCCCGGATGTCGTGGTGAAGGGGCTTAGTAGCCGTGGCTTGATAGCCAACGGTTAAGACAAGAGGAGCCCACACTGAGATAGGTGAGGGCCGCTTCAAATGGACTCATTAAGCCCACTATAGATGAAATACATGCGGGCGGAGCCGCGGGCGAAAAGCTAGTCTTCAATAAAAATATTAAAAAAAATAAAAATTAAAAGTAGTTGTAGTTATAAAGACGCCAATTGCGATTGCTTAAAATTATTGTTCGTTAATGTCTAGTAGAAAAGTAAAATTATTTTGAAACATGACCGTATATCAGAAACAAATATTAATAAATAAAGAATTCAGGCTCGACTTAGGACTATGGCGACGTAAAATTGAAAGATTTAAACACAATAATGCTATGATCCCTTGGAACAGAGGTAAAGGCCTCGTTTGGAATACTTTTGTAGACACTGTGGCTGCCTTTCATCTTTCTACTTCGGTCAGGGCCTAGGCAACATCAGAGGCAGTTGAAGTAAGTGGAACAAATAAGAGTCAATTTTGTTCATATTATGTAATTATGCCATTTGGATTTGAAACGTACATCAAAATATCCGCACATCAAAATTTTTTAAAGATTGGCGTCCTAGACTTGTCGCCATGGCTACAACAGGCCTGATTCTTAGTTTGACGTTTAGTATAGGTCTATACAAATACTGAGAAAAAATAAACGCTTTAACTTGCCCATTCTAATGACAAGGCGAGAGATTGTAATAGTTGTTGGTGTTTAATTTTTGAAAATGTATACATTTTTTTATTATGTTCATGGATTTGAGTTATTATTTGTATTTAGTTTCATGTACGTACCGTACACAAAGTGGTATACCACCACTAACTTGAATACAACTTCAAAATTTCTGATTAATTCTAATTGACTATACTGAACATAATGGAAATAAATATCCTATCTATTTTATATTATCTCGAAACGGCAAACGGCACAAAGAGACGTAGATAATTCATTCAAAGGACCGATTTATCTGATAATGCAAAAATATTCTCGTTATTCTTGGGCCAATTTAATCTGAGAGGTAAAGAAATATCATCCTTTGTGCCTTTATTGGTAATCATAATCATTTAAAGCCAACCAAACTTTCACAAAACTATCAAGTCGGTTTCTTATACAAATCTGTTCGCTCAGTATAAATAAACATAATATTTGACGTCCAAGAAAATGAAGATAAATTAGTAATTAGTAAATTTGTAATCATTCATAAAAGTATTTCATTTGCTCTAAACAATTTACTGTGTGAATCAATCAAAAATGCATTGGAATGTTCACATTATTTTATGAGTAAGCAATTAACTAGCCGATGTACCTGAGGTCTGGGGTCGTGATGATTGACTGTGCAGGACGTAATAGGACGTAAATGAATGGCATACCTCTTTTATAAACTGCCCAAAGTGACATGAATAATCCATTTACGGGACCTGTTTATCTGATGACAAAAATTAAAATGGCACTCGGGGACTGCCGCGGTAAAGCTATTGTATAGCATTTTTTATCAACTTATGCAATTATAATTATTTATTTATGCAGTATTTTTTTTTTCTTTTGATATTAATTCAAGTTACACTTTTTGAGCGTGGTGACCATTAAGAAAAATTTTTTTTTCTTTTATTGAATAAATGAGAAGTTAATATCGTTTAACATATTTTTATTATCTTACAATACATGTAGGTTATTCAGGAATTTTTATCATTGAAACTATAGGTTTATGGTAACTGAAATAAGAAACATAAGATTGAGACTTGATATCCTCTAATCATATCTCATATCATATGAGAATATAATATTATAATATCATATTATAATATTCATCCGTGCCAGCTTCGTACAGTCGTACCGTATACATACAATTTAAGTGAACGCTCGGCCGAGCTACATGGTAGGCGAAGAAGGGAGTGTTAGGTTTTATTTTCGTTACGGAATTTCTTGATTCGGTCGCCGCGCTCAAAGCCCGCTATAAAAGCTATGCAATAGCTTAAAAATATTCTCGTCGTTATATCTTTCAGCAAAAATGAACGACTAAAAATGATAACTAATTACATACACAGAGTGTGAATATACGGTCAGTGAAAAAAATTCCAATCATTTGATAATGATGATAATTCAATTGTATTTGACGATCTACCAATTTTACAGTTGGCCGTAATATGATTGTCATCCGAGTACGCCCATGAGCAACGAGGCTAATTACAACTCAAACAGAATGCTACAAAGCCTCCATATTTACGTTGAACGAGTACAATTCGTCTGTCCGGTTAAATTCAACGTGTAACCGCAAATTCCAAATTAAACGCCCCGAATGAATTACACTTCAAGTAATTTATTGCTTCGTTCTAACCTTTTACCGTTTCGGGGGTGATGTGGGCATTCGGAAATTAATTATTTATAGCGGAAATTTATTTGTATTTAAATGGTTTGGTCTAATGTGGTTGGCGGTCGTTCTTTACCGTCTAAGTCGCTCAGATTTTGAAACAATTATACTGTAATCGTTTGTCTTTTCACTTCAAAGTGGGTTTTACGAAGGGAAAAGAAACTTTCATAGACATGGATAGGTTAAATAGCCAGTATTGCGAGTTAGACGTAAATTAATTATATTAAAACTTTCTATACGAAAATAATTTACGGTGGCAGGGCCACGCAATAGTCTTCGCTGTTGCATTCCAGTACTTTCTGGACCGTAGATGCTGTGGTGTTGAGTGTGGGCAGTCCAAGAAATTGTTTATAATGACAGTTTGTTTTTTCAAGAAATGCGAAAAAAATATTCTAGTTCTAATTGTTATTGTTGTGTGTTTCAAAATTATAAACCTTTTTTTAAGTTGTAACTTTATCCACTGCACGAACTTTTCAGATTTATATTAAGCATTCATAATCTATTTATAGTATACTGTTTATATGAGCAATCTATTGATATAGTATTAGGGAAAATCAACATCTTTCTATGTGATCTTATCTCGCCGCCCAGTTTGTATATATTTGCAACGTATTCAATATCTTTATTCCCTAAAATCCTTGCTTACTTCTAATACTATGTATTAATACATCTTTACCTCCCACTTCATTATGAAACAGAAACAAATTAGTAACTTATATTTGCCTTTCGGTGCGAAGGACGAGCTAGTGCCTAAAAACAATTTCAAAGCTTATACTTTTCATTCCCATATTTCTATCATAATCATTCTATCTAATAAGGATGTCAGGCACGCACGGGGAAGGACTTTACAGCACCTGTTGTCCAGGAAGGAGACGCATAGAGAATTTAATTTAATAAGTAGGTAATGTGCATGCGGGTGCAAAGGATTTGAGAATAGTTGACGGTATGTCAAAATTTTCGTTAACCAGTCAGATTTGGTGTAGTAATGCTATCAACTAAGATCGCATAGTTTACATTACATTAGTATAATAGTTTTAAGATGTATTTGAATATACATCTTAAAACAATATTCCATTGACTATTATTAGATAATATCCTCAGTATTTTACAATAAAACAAAATTAGATTCTTTTTTTGTTGTGTAAGGGCAACTCCGAAGTATATTTGGTTAATTCTGAATGACATTTAAAACTGAACTTTACTGAGCTGTAACAAAAGATACATATTTCTATTTCGTCCTCATTTACCCTTGAAAAATATATTGTTCCTTACTATCCCTTGAGTAGCTTAAACATATTCATGTGACATTTATATTTCGCAAATACTCGATATTTAGTGTAAATTCGGTCTACGGTTCCCAAACTTTTGGCACTATGGTAAATGATAGTGTGTGAAATAAAGGGAAAAACTAAGAAGTATAAAAGTTTTATTTAAAGTAAAATAATGGAATTATTGAGATCCAACATAAATGATTGTTAGCGTAATTGAGTTCTGAGTGGCAAAATAAATATAACTAAAAAAAAATTGTATCCCATTTCGAAACGATAATCAAAAAATTCACACATAGTGTGCTCTTTCTGCAAACTACAGACAATTCGAGTCACATTTTTGATAATGTTATCTTGTAAATTTATCTATAATTATGAATAATTAATTTGAAACATGTTTAATGCATTACATGTAAAAATTTCATTACTAAATTACTGTTTAAAATCCCAAAATGCTTAGAATTGCAAGGAAACAATTATGCAAACATCTCTCTTAAAACAAAAGTGACTCTTATCAATAAAAAAATTACTTAACCACCAAAACAAAAATTCAGCTCTTATGATGTTTTTTTTTTATTTGACCAAACCATCACATTTGTCTTTGAAAACAAATCTACTTTTCTTTAATTCTTAAATATCGTGAGAATTTTGCGAATTTTGGACGCATTAGGTTATTACGATGCTTCGGGGGTTCTTAACGTCCGAAATATCCCATCCAAGTGAAAGTTCATTAATTAGAAACTTCGAAGTACTTAGAGTCCTTAGAGTCTCTACAGTTCCTCTCCTGAGTGTACCTCACGAAGTAAATTCTTGCCGAAATAAAGATAATAAAAATAAAACTTAAATTCCTTATCCAATTATCCTAATTCCGGACATATGAAGTAGATGCAAAAAACTGTACTGGCTGACAACAGCGTGTTAATTGCTACAATTATTGTTGTAATAACAATTATAACTTTGTTTTCTCACCACAACGGTATGTGCAATCTATAGAATGGGAAACTGACCAAAACTAACCAACGCCTGTATTTTAGGTAACAGGTCCCCCGCCCAGTTATATAATTACAAACGTGTGTGGGTGTTTGGATATGTGTGTGTGTCTGTGTGTGTATGCGTATGTATGTATACAGCGTGTCGTTACCACCGCGACAATAAATGAACACACATATAGAGGATAACTTTTTAAAATTATAATAAACATGTACATTCTTTAAACATCAATATTTACCGAGTTATTAAATTTTTCAAAATAAACAATTTTAGAACACCCTTACGTATAAAACTGTAACATAAAGTTCATTTGTAAAGGTCACAAAGCACATGAATGGGTTGAATGAATTTAAAAGAGACAAAACATACTGTTAGAAGGAGAGGCTTGTAATGCGATGCTGTGGCGCGAGTTGTATAGGATGTTACAAATTGTGTTTCTTTTTTACTTAATTAGTTTGTTTGAAAAATATTTTTTTAAATTATGGATTTAGTTTAACGTTAATATTTTTTTATGATTATTGGCAAGTAGCGTTAGATGTGTGTTCATTTATTGTCGCGATGGTAACGACACACTGTATACATATAAAAGTATGTGAATCAATACCATATTATGATGATACATAAAGTAGGTCTTCAGTAGCTTTATTTTTAAAGTAGCAATTTTTAAAGGCCTTTCATTCTTTTTTTCTTAACTTTAGTTTTTTGTTTACTTCATTGTACAGGAGTCCCTCCAGATAACAAAAATTTGTTGCAAAACAAAAGAAATGTGATTATATTGAAAGATACACACGCAGTCTTTACGTCTCTTTTGCAGTTGATGTTTCAGCTCATATTTTAATTGAGTATGCTTTTTTTAATACATTAAGAATAAATAATTGTCTGATTGTAAGTATTTTACTACTTTATTATGCAATTTAGATGTAGGATATTTAAAAGGAAGGAAGCTTTCAAGATTAGTTTTTGAGACCTTTCCAGTAACAACAAGGAAGATTTGTAAGGCTGGGACCCAGCAAGTAATACTATATATTGTAAGCGAAATAAACAAATCTAATTTTATTTGAGTTGGCCACATTTCGGTGAGTTATAAATATATAATTCAACTTGCGTAACCTATTGGAAGAGTGCATCAACGTGAAAGTTAAAACTTAAGTTATACAAATTTAAGCTCGACCAAATATTAATTATTATTCATTTTAATATGTACAATTATATCAACAGGTTTATCTTCCGCATCAAACTCTTTAGAGGCGGACATGTTAGAATCTTTATTTCTATCGCTGACTGTCTTCACAAATTTCTTAAAACCTTTCTTCCTCTTTCTTTGTGATTTCGATCTGTGCTTTGGAAATATACTGTTCGTCGCTATTAGCTTATTTTTCGTTTCACCTTTCCGCCTCCGTAATTTCTTTTTCTTTTTCTTCAATCTCTTAACTCTGAATTTTGGATGTTCCTTGTGAATTTTAATTTCCACAGACTTGGAAAGATTACTTAAAATTTGATCTGAGCCCTGAAAATATTTATTTATGAAATTGCTACATTATAAAAAAAAAATCTATGGAATCTGTAACGTAGTGGTCAAATGTTATCAAAACTATAAGACCTCTTTTGCCTATTAATTCGTGCCTTTCACAATCAAAGATGCAACAAAATGAGTACCTGAACTATAACGTTCTCTTCATAACTACTAACCCAGTGTTTCAAAGTTCTTGTGTGGTCTTTTGCTTCCACCTGAAAAATATTGTAGTTAAACTTTAATTTGATCTCGTACTATTTAAACAAGTACCCCCCACCAATTTCCCTGACACCAAATTATGTGTTTACTAACTTGATCGTTTAAGAAGTATTTAAATGACAATCCATTATACCTAATTATCATAACATTATATTATATATCCGATCCGATATTATTGCCTATAAGAACAAAACTGGAGCTAATGAACCAAAGAAAAAGGAACGCATCTCCAATTCAATTTAAAATAAACCTTTTAACAATATGAACACCTTTTAAGATGTTGACTTGTATCTCAAAAATGCTTTAATTGAGTCCAATATGTTACCAAAGTATTGCGTTTCAAATCTCGAGATCTTAGCACTAAAACCATAATCCTTGTTTACTTCTAATTCAATGAATTACTTTAATATTAATTATTCACCTTTACTTTGATCAACATTACATGCGTCAATTTCTTGAAAGGTATCACTTAGATATTAATATAAATTTCGAACTCTCGTCTCAACGCCAAACTTCTTCGACTGATTGCCTCGTCGAGACGTAAATTACTGCGATGGCACTATGGTCTTCAATTATTTATTAGCGAGCCGCGAACTCTCGTGTATGAATAATTTGGGACTATTCATGTAAGCGTTAAGGCCCATTTACACGGTGCCAGTTTCTTGCCTGTTGTATACAATTAAATTGAAGCAATAAATAAGTTGCATGGTCTAAACAACAAATGGTCTAACCAATTATTGCGCGCAATTTATTGCATTCAATTATTGCTCTTGCATGTACAAGAAAATGGCATCGTGTAAATGGGCCTTTAGTGCGAGTATGTTGCCTATCGTATAGTTCGTATTACGGCGAATACACTGCTAAATTGCGTTGTCCTACTGAATTGAGATTGGTTTGTTTGGAAGGATTATTTATTTATCCTTCACATTATTCAAGGTATTTCAGTGGGCGGCCTTAATTACCTTTGGAGTTCTCTTTCAGTTAACTCGGTGCGAGGAAGATTACAACAGGTGCAAAAAGCTTTTTCAAATTAAACAAGACTAAATTTATTGTATGCTAGATGTATATTTATCTTTTGTTAACTATAGTAGTTACTGTTGTTTTTTTCAAGCCTCATGTACTTGAGTGCACAGAAATGTTGAGGTTTTCGGGTTGTTCTATATATATTTTTATTCCGGTTATATAGCATTCTAAAAAAACGGAAACAAATGAAAAAGTCTTTGTTTTATACTTTACGTAGATACACCAAAATTAAATTACATAAAATTGTATGTAAATGTATCTTAGGCTTAAATAATCCGCCCCTGCTGCTTGGCAAACACAAAACGACTTAACAAACTTGACAAAAAATAAGGCCACAAAAGAGTAAGTAAAGGGCGTTACAACCCTTACGGTTTTATAGTAGCAATCTTTCGATTTTTAATTAAAAAAAGACACCATTTATGAATTTAAAAAAACAGCTTCGTCCTAAACACACCGCCAACGCAGATACCGATAAAGATTAATTAACAAATTACAAAAGAAAGACCTCACTAAAATCCGATCTCACCTGATTATTCTTATTTTCAGCTTTAAAATACCAAACTGCCAGTAATATTTGCCACCAGCAACATCGCAAGTTCATTTCTATACAGCGCTCTCGCGTGTGTCCAAGTCGCACACGAGTCGCGGCTTATTGTGTGTTTAGCAAACATCGTGGTGTTTCCGCTAAATACGTTATCGCTTACTGCCTACCCCTTTGCCCGGTCACGTGTACTGAACTAACACCAAAACACGTGCACGGCTAAGTACCGGACATGCATTTCTTTACATGCATTTATGCATGCATGCATATTTTTACATGCATTTTATTAGAAACAAATAAACCGGCCAAGTGCGAGTCGGACTCGCGCGCGAAGATTACGTACCATTACATAAAGAAGAAGCGCGAAGATTACGTACTATAAAAAACTACAAAAAAATCATGTCTGTTGTATGGGCACCCTCTGAAATATTTTTTATTTCATTCTTGTTTCTTTGGATTTTTGGGATTATTTGGTCCCGTTTTACCCTTTCGGTCGGAACACCAAATACGCATGTTTAAGAAATCAATTAAATATTTATATCATATAAAGTAGTCTTGTCACTGTCACTGTTAAGGCGAATGTTGGACAGCGGTTAAGGTCTTATAACTTAACTTTTTAAAGAAAAAGACATTCGGACTTACATATACCCAAAAAACATTACCTTCCAGAAGGAAGACCAAAAGGTGGCTTTTGGTAAAATTGAAGCATGTCTTCAAATATGTAATATTAAGATATACAAAAAGGTAAACACATAATAGGTAAACACATTATAGAAAAAAAAATTAAATATCGTTTAAAACTTCCGATATTTTTATTAGTTTTCTTATCATTGCGAAGTTGACAGTTTCTTTACTGAGGAACTTTCATTTAGAGATATTTAAAAATTGAGGATTTCGTGAACTGAGTTTTAAATCTTATTTATTTATTTTACTTATTACATTACTTATTACACATCACATATTTCTATGGCAGTCTGTATCATGTCACTTATTTGAAAACCATCTCTGCGGTTATGTTCTATTTGCGGTTTAATATGTCGAACCTTTAACGTATATATCAAATGGAATGTATTAATGGTCACGATAGTTCCAATAAGAAGTGATTCGTCAATAAATTTGTACTTTCTTTAAATAATGAAGTATGAAATTATATTATATACAAACAATAACTTAAAAATAAATTTATTAATCATTTATAAAATATATAAGAAATTAAAAGAAATATGTATTACACTTTATATACATATCTACGTATTATATATATTTTTTTATGTATTATTACGTATTATATTTATTATCTTTGAATGCCATAATTTGGGTTTATGTATAATATTGAAAATATTTGCCACAATTAAAGTTTATCCAATCCAATCTGTGTGTTATCATCTCGATTTGTTTTTATTAGACACTAGAAACTTACATGGATCATCTTCCCTTTTACTTAACTTAAGGTCACTAATACTATTGAAAGAAAAAAACTAGGCTAACGAAATGTTTGGTAGCTACTTTATTTTACTCCTATTTCACACCAAAACAAAAAAATTTGGGCCAGAAGATTAAAAAAAAAGTCAAGACTTCGTCCGTTTTACTTTGCCTCATATACTTTTCTCCAAAACTAACGAATAACTTTATACCTAACAACCCGCGATTTCGTATTTACTCATTTCATTCCCTATTATAACTATGAAGGTTTCGTTATTTAATAAGTAATAACAGGACAAATTAACCTTATAAAACGTACCAACTAAAGTTTCGAAGCCTTAATTTAAGTTTCTGAACATAATAGAGCTTTGTAAGTCCTGTCTTGTTCTTTTATTATATTATTTTTATCACGCCGACATCGTCCTAGAAGTAAAGACAAAGAAAGGAAAATATAAATATGTAAAAAAGGTTCGAATCCTTTGAAAATTTCTCTACTATATTTAAGTAATCTGAAATGGTCAGGTGAATGTGATCAAAATGATCCCTACCCAATCCTTTCAGATTATTTATCCGGCACCATTAGATCTACACCTATTCCAGAAAGTTAACACGGAACTTAGCATTTTATGAAAAAGTAGAAGTAATTGTTTGCATCACTAATAAGGGGCAAAGTTCCACTGATTGACTTGTAAATTATCACTACATAGTACTATAAAACAAAGTCGTTCCGCTGTCTGTTTGTCCCTATGTATGCTCAGATCTATAAAACTACGCAACGGATCTTGATGCGGTTTTCTTTAGATAGAGTGATTCACCAGGTTTACGTGTATAATACATTTCACTCGTGCAAAGCTGGGGCGGGTCACTTATTATAATATAAAAGAACTTCTACAATATTACACTGATACTAGCGGAACCAACAGCAGAAGTCCTGTTACACACGACTTAAGTCCGACAACAACTTATAAATAAAAAATTTAAAAAAAATGTAGTGGACTCATTTGTGAACTTAAACATTCTCGAATCAACCTGAAGACGCACAAAAAATTTTATTAAAATCGATCCAACCGTAGGAGGACTTCAGTGGCGTACACACGCACAGAAGAATTATTATTTTATAGTAACATTTTCCTTCAAAACAAAATAAAATTTCCACATTATCATTATGATTCGACGACTGATCATTGTACTGTACAAGAAATTACCACTGGTCGACTGTGATATTTATTCCAAAACTATATGTATAAATAAATAATTGTATACAATTAAAAAATCGCTTTAGCCAAAATCCCAAAAAGTCGCTTTTAAAACTTGAAAAATAGACTAAACTTTAATGTAGGTACTAAACATAGAATGATACCTGAATATGAATATGAAACAAAAGCATATGCTTCAGAAGTACCTGAGGCTCGATGAAATAGCTGGATCCTTTGAATTAAATTGCTTTGTGGAACATTCGCCGATACCTAATGGCCGCCTACCTACAATAATTTAGAGTAAGGGTAAATGAGACTGTATGTTTTTTCTGGAATTCCTAATGGGGTGGTAAAAATAAATCTCAGTATAAACGAAACATCCACCTGCTATTTTAAAAAACAAGCTAAATATACCAATCACTGGAGTAACGCATTATCAAAGATGCTGAACGTTAACGATTTAATAAACCCTGAACTTTATATAAAATTTCCGTTAGTAGCTTCCGTTCTTCCACGAATGGGCAAGCGCGTCCGGGGAAGTACCACGACCTCACAGGAGACTGACGTGAAGTGGAAATATTAAACTTTCGTCTTTCGGCAATGAGTGAGGTAGCCGGGGCCCACTTTTTTAAGGTTTTCGACGGATCTGAAGCCATCGGGTGTTGTAGATGTCCATGGGTGGCGGAACTCACTTAACATCTGGTGCTTTTACTCTTGTACACTTGGTAAATTATCACAGAAACAAAACCGACTAATGTATCTTTCTTACTCCTGTTCGCTTGATAAATTATCACAGAAACAAAAGCCACTAATGTTTTTAACATATCCTTTATCTTGAAATTTGTAGAAAAAGTACGAAAAGAGTGTCGCCGCTGTGGCAATCGAATAAATATCCTTTATCTTTCAATTTATAAACTCTGAACAAATGCCGATTAATTTTGGATGCAGGCAGAGGACCGTAATATTGGATGGTGTAAAATTCACTGGTCACGTATTTCGTTAAAGGTTAACATCCCAGAGCGATTACAAACAACTTATTTTTTGAATATATGAAATTTTACGTTCTGAGTAGAGTTTCATGTCACACTAACACTACACAGAATGTAAGGTTTCATATCATTTCAAGGTCTGGCGATATTGTTTACTACTTTATAGTCATATATTACAAAACATATATAAAAATTATTTATCAACGGGAATTGAACCCAAGATCTGAAGTGAATGCGATTTTTATTATGAAATATAATCGAGTGCGATTTTTATTATGAATGTCATAAATATAACTTTATTCTACACTCGCCTCTCAATATTGATTTAAAGTTTATGCAATTTGTCACATTATTACATCCCTAATGTATCGGAATATTTATGCAGTCTCAGCGGAATGGAACAATAAAAATTATTTAATTGAATATATTTCGGGAAACTCTTAATTTGATAGACCTCTTTTTGAACACATTTCTCTCGGCTCACAGCTTTTGTCCGCACAAATAATGATAAATTTGAATTAATTTGATACGATACTAACGCTTTGGCAGTCACTGAAAATCACTTTATTCTTCTAACGAAAGTTACTCCTTAGAACGGTTGCTGTATGTAATGATTTGTCGCTAGGAATACTTACTACTAAGACGGGTCAGGGATAGGGACCACAAAGAAAAAAATCCTTATTTTAACATGTGCACAGCACTTGACTCCTCTACGGTACCTGTTATTTTTCTGGCTGTTTTTTTTTTTTTTTTATGCGAAAAGTTGTCAAACGAGCAGACGGTTCACCTGATGTTAAGTGAATACCGCCGCCCATGGACATCTGCTACACTCGAGGGTTACAGATGCGTTGACAACCTTTTGAAAATTGGGCTCCGGCTACCTCACTCACCAGACGAAACGCGAAAGTATTTGTCATACTTCCACTTTACGCCGGTCTTCTGTGAGGTCGTGGTACTTACCCGGACGGGCCTGCCCATTCGTGCAACAGCCGAGGCTGCTGCGTGGCCCTTACCACCGTGTTGATGGGCGTCAGTGACCAGGATAGGTCCTTCGTAGAATTATGGGCTAGACAAATTAACAAATCACTATGGTAACATGTACAACTACATATATACGAGAAGCAATTTGAAAATGGAATAAGCCACCAAAAATTTACTCTAGTAGGTAATTAAATCCACACGCCTTCAATATTTTTCACAACAAGCAATCCGAATCTTATCGATCCAATCATTCGATTTCATTAGTTCAGTTGTTGTAAATGCACATAATGCAACAACTTTCATCAACAGCGTGTTGTCAGAGTAACTCACTAATAAAGTTGTGACAGGTAACCGTTTTATCCGAATATTTCTTCATCTTAACTTTTCCCCTTCTTATAAATATAGATTAAGTTATCGACAGCGATATCAATTTTTGTGACGGCCGAACAAATTAAAGATGATCAGTTGACTTTGTTTGTTGCCGACCCTTGGCGGGTCTGTTGACCGTTGTAATTAATATTCAATTTGACGCTCGTAGGAATAATCGTTATCATCACAACAAAATGTTGACATGACAAAAGACCATAGTTCAATCGATTAAATTAATGAACACTTTCCTGCATCGATTGTAAAGCCATATTGCAAGACATGTCAAACCATTTAGTTCAAACTTGTAAAAACAGTATTCAGTGTTCTTAAATATCTATAATCTCTACTTTGCCATATACACGAATATTCTATGAAGGTGAGATTTTTCTACAATCAGTTTACCCGATTGCTTTTTTCATATTTTTCTTTCTTCTATCCTTATCCCATTAGGTGGTGTGCTGACCGTACGATATGTAAATCATGTCGTCAATTATAGTAGTGGCAGCTTTTTTACGACCGGCCGCCTTTTTTGGTTCACATGGGGTAAATGTCTACCCGTCCTTTTGGGGGTAAGGAAGGCATTACGTCGAATCCGCACGGACTAAAAGCCCCCAATGGCCCAGCTGATGTCTTAGGACGTATATGGGTTAGACCACCGGAACGTATATGGGTTTCGCATACCTCAGTCGCCCCTCCTTGGGGAGCAACTCCCCTCTCCTCCGGTTAAGCGCACTGAATGCTCCAGGCTTTTTTTTTTTTATGCGAAGAGTTGTCAAACTTCACCTGGCGTGATACCCGCCATGGACATCTGCCACCCAGGGTCAGATGCGTTGACAACCCTCCGGCTACCTCACTCACCAGGGCGAAAGTATTTGACAACTTCCCTTTACCTGGTCTTCTGTTAGGTCGTGGTACTTACCCCATTCGTGCAACAGCTGAGACTGCTGCGTGGCCCTACTACCGTACTCGGCCGTTAGCCTTTTTCGGCCCTTTTTGCACGGACAACGAACTCTCCCGAGTCCGCTGAGGTCATGAGAGCCAGGCGAGCCCCCAGCGGTTAACCCGGTATGTGCCCCACTACTATTGTATCAGCGGTGCAACACCGCCGAGTCGCGGAGGAATCATCATAATACAGTCAGTACAAGGCCGTATCAAACTTGGTGTACGCAGAGGAAGTCTGACGCATTTGAATTGCGTTCAAATCTTGAGACATTATTTTGTTTAATTTGCGTTTTGTACTTAAGTAGGTGGCTTAAGTAATTGATTAGACTCCAGCCGAAGACCGGTGGCATTTTGCTAGTCCTACCCCTATTACTATTACTCTAATGTTAGGGTAACCTTGTAATAGTTACGGTACCTACGCGCTTGCAATTTTTTCATTCGATATAGAGGTTTTTTTTAGCAGGACATAAGAATTTGGGTTTACAAAGATTTTAAATTAACCGACACAATCTGGATTTATACACAAATTCTATCCCAATCTATCATTTCATGTTACGACGAGGTGATTCATATTCAGCCTTACGTGGATACTAGTAGACGTTTTTTAAGTTTTTAGTAGTGTAAGAAGGAAGAAAGAAGTCAAGGAAACTTTAACATAATTTAATTACTCAATTACAACGTAATAAAATCTATGTATTTGAGGAAAAAACATAGTATACGATCAACGATTTTATGGAAGCAATCACTGATAAAGATTTTTGTCTAGCGGATGTCATCACTAAAATAAATTCGACATTTCGTCTACAAATTTAATTTCTTTTTTTTTACAGTAATACGACACATTGGGTTGTGTATTCGGCTTTTTCTGATTTTATGGCGTCCCCGAAGATTTGATGAAATCACCGACTTTCGTGAACCCCGACATAGTATCGCATTACTGACTTTCCTTACTTGAATACCGATTGAACACAGTGCTTTCGTAATCTGACGCATCATAGCAAAAAAATAAACATCGAGAATATAATCTTGCAGAAGCTCATATATGGAGGTTTTATTTACGATGTATTGCCTCGTTTTTAGGACACTTAAAAATATGAAAATATAAAAAGGACGTACGTAACTTTTTTTGTTTCTACGACCTTCCAATAAAGATTTATTAGAGTCCTCTCAAATAAATATTGTTAGGCTTTGGGTTTTTGCGTCAACGAGCGGTCGCGCAAATTTATACGGTTCTTCGACTGCGAAACAATTTTTGCATAAAAAATTTCTATAAAAGGTGGCTACGAGTTATCTTGAGCTAATTCTTTTTTTTAATTTAGAGTACAGAAATATAGTATATAGTGATATACAGAAATGAAAAGTGTGTACGGAATACTCATCACATAGGTTTAGGTGCAGTGTAATAAGAAATTTAAATAGTTTCAACACTAACTTAGAACCCACTGATATAAGATACAAATATTACTGTTGCCACAAAGCATGTTCTACAGATCTGCCTAGAACAGAGTGACGTGAAAATATTATACTTTTCTGTTTCTTCTGAATATGAAGCAGCCGGAGCCCACTTTTTCAAAAGGTTAATGGTAACACATTAGCAACCTCACAGACACTTTAGGAGTCCATGGTTTGCCTTCTGACATAAAAAAAAAACATAGGTAAAAGATACCTAAAGATATCGTATAACCACGCAGCTTCTGTTGTTGCACGAACGAGCCGGCTCGTTCAAAGAAGCACAGAAGGCAATAGCCACAAAGAGGGCTGTCGCAAAGCAGAAACATACCTTTTTAACCGACTTCAAAAGGAGGTTCTCAATTCGACTGTATTTTTTTTATTTTTGTTACCTCAGAACTTTCGACTGAGTGAACAGATTTTGATGATTCTTTTTTTATTTGAAAGCTGATGCTTCCCATGTGGTCTCATAATTGGTATGGGATCTTGGGATCCGGAGATATTTCGGAAACTCCTGAAAATTAACTCTGAAATGGATACAGAGCGCGATATTTGATGTAGGTTTTGTTTTTCATTAGTAAAAAAAATTACTTGTTATTGTTGTATCTTTGTATTAACATGACAACTTAACTGCAACACGGACGTCGTTGATTTCGATAGGCCGAGATAATTCCCATCAGGTGCATCGTTTGCCAGTTTTCGCCGTGAAGAAGTAAAACCAGACCCGACAAGTATCACTTCTATTCCGGAAACTTTTCCTTGGATTAGGGACTTAAAATGGAACTAAATAATAAAAACTATTTAATAAAAAACAATAAAGATCGAAAAACACGAACCGATTGAGTTCCGCCTTTGTAGCACACGATCGTTAAAGGAGCTCAAAACTATTAACAATCACGCTTACAACTAAAGCACCTGCTTTAAAAAAAGAGCAATTTCCTTTTGTGATGATTTGCTAGCACAATGTGACAAGCGTTTTTCTGTGACTAACCAAAAACTATTTCATTTCCTCATTTATAGTGCAGGTAAAAGTTCTTATTTATTAATGCGAACTGAGATTCATGTCTTCCTCAGTCACTTACAGACTATTATTCAGAATCTATTTGATTCTAATGTATTAATGCTGACAGAAAAATTCTTACATTTATTAGGTACGTTCTTAGTTATATCATATACCACTTCGAAAAATTTGAACAAGTTGTCAACGTCTGTTCTCAAGATGTTCTCAAATTTTTCTGTAATTTAGTGGGTACCATAGATACATAAAAAAATGTAACAAATTTAACAAATGTAAAACTTGCAATTAAACATATTCAATTTATCAAAGTATTTAGATTATAAGATTGTATGTCGCTTTATAAACAACAACAATAAAATGATATTGTGTAGTACGCTATCCGATAAAAAAATACTAGATGTCGTGTATTATATTAATATAATGTAACGGTAAGTACCGTCATTGTTCTGTTATAACACGCACGTAGCTTGAATGCAAAAAATAACAGCCACCAATAACTGTTTATTACGAAACAGAAATAAAATAATAGTATCGATAGCAGTCAATATAAAAATAAACTACGTATCGCTCCCATATCGACCCATAAACGTTATTAAGAAATTTCAAAAACGCTGTCGAAACTTTCCAAAACGAGGTCAGAGGACCTAACATAACAGTAAAACATAACAGTTCGAAAATGTCTTCTCATTTGATCCTTCGAAACACCGGTCATTGACAGCCAGATTCACACCTAGCTGGTAATTACGTTTCTCGCTCTAACGTTAACCAATGTATACGCATAAAGCGAGAAGGCAAATCAAAACGGTACATTCAATTTCTTCTTCGGTTCAGAGTCAAGGACGAATGCACTTGGTTTTCCATACCTGGTATGAAAGAGACGGCTTAATATCAAGAAAGTGAAGAGGGCACAATCACAGTTGAGACGAATAAAGTGGATAGTCGAGACTTGACGTTGCTTACGCGCTGAATTTTAAAAAGGTTGATTTGATTGCGTCTGAATTGTTTTAAATTTGGTTTTAGGGTATTTTTGTTTCTTCGTATGGCAACACTGGATTTTGTGTCGGGAAATAGTTACGTGTCTTTTGCCGCTTTTAATAGTACCGGTGAGCGAACGAGTCATGACCACTTAACGCGGCTCGCGATAGATAATATCAAACAAAAATTTATATCATCAAATACTAAGCTCTAGATCGGTGGTGTGGTGGTTATCGGAGAAGTTGTTGTAGACTAAAGTATTTATACAATAGTGAAGTTAAAAATAGTAGGTAAGTAAATCATTCATTTCTTTTAGTACTTTTTTCATTTTTTGTCTTGAATTAAAAAAAAAAGTTTGTAATTCTAGTGTATAAATTCTTACGATTCATTCAGAATAACCTTAAATTAAATTGAAATTTCATAATCTATGTATTATTTTTCTACGTCTACTTAGCGACTAATAAGAGATTAAGGGATTTGTCAATTTTTCCTGACTTGGATAAAAATATGCGTAAGTTTACATCCGTAACGTCTTTATAATCTCAAATTCAATGTATGAATATGTACTATATTAATTTATTGAATAATGATCGATTTAATGTATAATTATTAAGAATTATTAGTAAAAAGTTTTCTTAGCTGTAACTGTGTGTCCTAAACCTCATTTAAGTGATGTAGGTCGCGTCAGCAAAATCACGATGAGTGCCAAAAAACTGGGTCAATTCATTCTGTCAGATTAAAAAAAAAAAAAACGATGTCTTCGTTCAAAACATTATCCAGTTCGTTCGTTTTTCATAACACTTATGTATATTCAAGGTGGCGCTTAGAAGAGTAGGCAGAGCGTAACTCACTTTAAACCACTGTTATTAGGATCCGTTTGTAGGCAGTTTTCTGTGGAGGCTCGTTCGACCGAGTGCCAAGGACTAACAGAAGCTTGTGTGAACTGGAAGACTAGAAGTATCATACTTTCGCATTTCGTCTGCAGAGTGGGTAACAGGGGTCCGCTCTTTTAAATGTTGCCAAACTTCTCGAATCTGCAACCCCACAGGTGTTGTCAGTTAATAAAAATGTTCGTAGACAATTATCACTTTACCACCTGCTCGTTATTATCATATAAAAAATTTGCTACTGTTAACACAGAAATTGTTCTAATAAGCGATTGAGTAGACTCATAGTCTCCGATGTCAGGTAAGATTATGTACATAGAATGTCTAGTGCTTGATAATCAAGCCTTGATTGCTACCCCCCTTATAGTGAGTAGTTATGCAGCCAGATATGGCAAACGTACTAGCCCGGTAAACTCCTATTTACTCTTGCGGTGAAGACTCCCGCGTTATATCCATACGGAAAGGTCAGATAAAGTTTTGCTTTTTTTCCTGCCTTAGTTAAATAACAAGGGAAAAAGCGGCTTATCACTTAGAGCAGCTACTTAGATGAAGAAAGTTACTTAAATTTTATGTGACCATCTAAATTTGAGGACTAAAATCTAACTCAACGACAAAACTAATGGCGATAAAAGATATCTAATTTGAAATACATACAAAACTGTTTAAAATGTAGAAACTAAACAGGATTCTGCGGTGCATTTTTATTAAACTATGGTGTGTTGTGTAATGTTTAATAGTTGAAACATGTTAATGTCCAACTATGTAAATTGAGCGACCGAGACGCGTTATCGATTTAATAGTTTTTAATCTGCGAACTTTTTAATGAATTCGATCTTTTTACCACTCGTCCATTTATGTTTTATCAAGTCTTAAAGATGTGAAACTACCATTATAGCGTAATGAGATCACCTGCGTGACATACCGAGACATGTGGAGATTGTTTAGTATGAATAAATTCATGAATGGAGCATCCAATCTGTCACTTTCTTTTTCGCGTCTTGTTTTGTACTATCATCTGTTGTCTTTATCATTAATTATTGTTTTTTTCATTTACGATTGAGTGTTTTTAAAGGAATCTCAAGGCAATTGTTTATTAAATGAGCATCATTTTTAAGACATAGATGTGGCCGAGTGGAATTGTAATCTAATGTTAGGAAACATATCTAATTCATTTAACTAAATTCCCTCAAAAGTGTATTCTGGCAAATATTTCTTTTTAAAGATATTACCGTTGATATTTGTCACCTCTCATTTATCAATAGCAACGTAGTTAGTTAGTTAAATAAAAAGAAATATCTATAATGAATCATGAACCTTCAATACATACTTAAAAAAATGTAACCGTAATGTTCATTCGCTTTTATTGTTTTTCTTTATCTGCATATTTGTGTTTTTATCAATGGCAGGTAAGAAATTCCATGAAGAATGTTTGGGCCTCCTTTTAAAATTTAGCGTCTAAATCGGTGTTCCTTTTGACAGTCACTCATTTACTTTTTTACTACAATGAAACAAGTTTTACGAATAAAAAACTTACTTATATTCGTTTATAACATATTCCGATTTTTTCTGTGCATGACATTTAATCGTGTAATAATAATGCCGTATTCTTTATATATGAATATATATGAATATATATGAATGCTCAGTGTCCGGGAGTTTGCTTTCAATTCAATATAAACTCGAACAACTTGAGTTGAAATTCTGCTTAATTATCACGTACTCGGCGATTAAGGAAAACGTCGTCAGGAAATCTGCATAATTTTGAAATAATAACAAAAAAAGTATGTGTGAACTTATGTACGCACGTAAGTTAATAAATAAGTAAATAAATAGTTTAGGACACATTTTTACAAAACGTTCTCTAGTCCCAAACTGAGCAATACTTGTATTATGTGTACTAGAAAACTGATAAAAATACTTAAATATAATTTTTTCTTTGTAAATAAATACATTTCATACATGTATAAACACCCAGACACTAGAAAAACACTATGTTATCACACAATATTTTTCAGTGGGGATCGAACCCACACCCTCTGGCGCAATAGGCAGGTACACTACCCACTACGCCATTCGCGTCGTCGGTTATACTTCCTTAGTTTAAACGGTTTATTTAAATAACTTGGAATTATTGGTAAATATCAAAAAGTCAATAAGATAGGAAGCTATTCATAAATATCACCCTTTTGAAAGACGCATATGACATTTTCGTGTAGTATTAGTCGGTCACACTGACGGAACTATCAGATGGTTCCATCCTATTGAAAATGGTTTAAGCTTTTAAGTTTATTGACATTAATCATAAAATTAATAATTCATATATTATCAGCAAGGTCCGGTTTTTCCATCCGATAACATTGCCGGTACAATAATTAAATTGCAGCTTTAGACAAAAATACTGCTTTTAAGTGCAAAGATAGATTCAAGTTAGTTAAAATGTCTATATTTCTGGTTAGTTTATAACTGTGGCGAAGTATTTTGTCTTTGGTATAAATAATATAATTTGGTACAATATAATTCAGTAATAAACTACCCAGGAAATTATTAATTTTAAATTTAAATTCTTTCTTTTATTTATACGCTATGATAGTACAAGCCTAACATACTAAGTTACATATTTTTTAATCAAATATGCCACATGGTAAAATAAAATCGCCCTATAAATTTTATTCTAAAGTAATTTTTAGACGCTTATTTGTTATGGATTGAAAGAAAGTCGATAAAAAAGGAAATAAATTAGTATTAATTAAAAAAACCCAGAACATAAATTAGAATATTATGATTGGTTATACAATAATATTCTTACTTTTAAATGTCACTGGAATAATGAAATGAAAATAATTTTAAATTGCTAATTCTAGAAAACATATGTTTATACGGTAAATATCTATCAATATTTTAGGCTCTGGAAAATATAACTATACAAATAGATATCCCGACGTTGCCCGGGCTTAGATTATTTTTTATTCTGCATCTTTGTAATTTTTGCGAAAAAAATGTTTTTGTATTTTAAAATTAGTAGAAAATGTTTTTGTATTTACAAAATGCTAAGTTATCCCTAAGGTATGTTAGCTGTTGGAGCTCTTTGATCACACGAAACATTTTAAATAGATTCTACGGAATAAGACTTTTATATAATTCGTACAGATCTTTATCCGTTACGTTGCAAATATTCTTGCTGTTTATAACATCATCCTTTCGTAAGTCGGTATAATCATAACCACTTCGGCCAGGTAACAAGGTCAATGACTTGAAGCGGTTTAAATGACGTCACACGGCGTCTTGTACCGCTATAAAGTTAGGGCTAGTTCACACATTGTGCAGTTGCCGCTTTTTTATTAAGTCGGAACAAAATTTATAGGTTTTTAAATTTGAGTTCAATTGTAAAAAAATATTGTTAGTAATATCAATTAGAAAGTTGTTTGAACTGAAAGTAAAAACAGGAAATATTTATTTAATTATAATATTCATTAATTATTCAAAAGAATCTAAATAATTTACATAAGTCTTAAGTTTTTCTACATATAAGACAGTTCTATTTTTATACCGGAAAATGTCACCTGACTTCGACTGCTTACGTATTACATTTCGAAGCTTTGCAACGTTATCTATTTAACTTAAAACTTGAATTAATTTGCCTCGGCACATTTAATTCAAGTGTCCTTATATTATCATGGCTTTAGTTTACTCCGCAAATCGTAAACGACGTAACACACGGTCCAAAATAAATCCTGTTAAACTTAATCTCGTGACTCAAACGTCAAAAATCTTGGCAATGTAAGGATGCGAGTTCAAAATGTATTGTTGTTATTAATGTGTAAAGATTCCAATGGTCAATATTTATTACTCGATTCATTTACATAGCTTCTTACGATATTTTTTTACATATACGCGAATTCATCATGGTGAAATTATATGCAGTAGCTTCCTCGAAATTCTTTCCTCTGTTCCACTTGTGAATAGATGGAAAGTAAATGGTATTTTTTCTCACCCCAGTTACAGAAACAAACCTAGATGTCTAGTCACCTCGTATTAGATGAAGTAGGGGATACAACAATTTAGTTAAATAAATAGCGTGTTTCATTGCAGTCTGACTGGTTTTAAAGACGTAGTAATAAAATTCCACAATAACTAACTAATTTTACAAGCTCATTTAATATCACGCATAATCACACAATATCGTTTAAACTCGCACTGTGTAAATTTTGTATGGTTAATTTTATGTAGACCGTCATTTCCGTATATATCAGTAACAAGTACCATTAATCTGATGCGCCATGTAAACGATTGATATACATGATGTGGTTGTACTTAAAATTAATTAAATTAATACTACACACTACTAAATGAATCTGTTTTTACGGATTATCCATCTAACTAAAAATTTAAATTGATTTGTCTAA